TATCAGAATTCGAAGCTGAATAAAAATTTACCTATTGATCCTGTTTTCTCAGTTTGGGTTAAATTAATCAAACACGTGGCAATCATAAGTTGTTCCAGAAACTCAAAGAATTTCAAGGGCATCGATTAAAAACTTTGAAATTTGAGTGTTTCAAAAAAAAAATAAGTTTTCATTTTTTCTGTTTTCTGGCGTTCATTAACTTTTTCCAACTGTCTGTTGGCTATGTTCTTGTTTTTGGGTACTTAAACACCTTGTCGTCTCAGTAGTAGCTCGGTAAATACTAAAGTTGTATTCATTACTGGTGGTTGTGATTTTTGATAATTTTTCTGAAAGTTTTAATTTTTCTTTTTTTTTCGATTTTGTGATTTTCGTCTTTTTTATTCGCTAGCTTGCAATGCTGCGCCTGCGGTGTTGCGCAAGTAGTTCGAAGCACTGTACCGTTTCTGTACATTGCCCTTCCATCTAATATAACAGGGATGTAATGAGTTTCAAAAGTATTTACAAACCATTCAAGAGTTAAGAAAGTTTATCCACGAGGAAAAGGATCAACATACGAGCTGTTAAGCTCTCTACTGAGAACCACTGTAGTTCCCCCTGTTTACCCTAGCGAGAGTAGTTTATTAGTATGACTCAACATTACACCATTTCAAAGCCTATGAAAAAACCGTATTTTCAATTGAAATTCAAGAAATAATGCATGCTCAAATGTGTGTTCATAATTTCTTTTGAAATCCTGAAATTCCAATTGAATCATGGCCAAGTATCAAAATATTTTATTTGCGGACAAACTACGTTTAATCGAATCGCATTCGGGTGGAGAAGATTATATTGCTTTGGCTGACTGTTTGGGAACAAATCGGAACACTGCGTATACAATTGTGCGACGTGGGAGATATGAGAATTTACCAAAAAATGAATCATACAATAGAAAAATTGACGAAGAATTTATTTTGGTCGCTATTGACATTCTGGAGGGCAATCCACTGATGACATTGCGGCAAGTTAATTTTGCGTTGAGAGCGCGCTTACCCCAAAAACCCCATTTTACACAACAAACACTATCAAAAGCATTAGAAGGGAGAATGACCAATTTCAAGCTTGCGAGAGATTGTCCTGCAAAGCGTAGCAGCGAAGAAAATATAGAAGATCGTTACAACTATGCATTGTGGATCATGAGCCTGACGTCGTAAGTTCGCTAAAAAATTTTGTGGATGAATTTGGTGTAAATATCCACATGCGGCGTTCTCAAGGGCGATCTGCTAAGGGTGACAGAGTTTATAGAAAAGTCAGTGCCCAGAAAGGACCCAATCTTGCAATCTGTTGCGCAGTTTCGACGGAAGGCCTTTTGCATTATCAGGTAATTCAAGGTGAAATGAAGAAGGACATTTTCAAAAGTTTTTTCGAAGTTCTAAATGGAAACGTTCTCTTTGACGAAGTGAACGATGCTGATGGATTTGCTGTTTTTACAATACTCTCGGGCACAGAAGAATTGAAGATATGGACCTTAGTGGAATATTCTCACTGAAGGGGCTCCCAAAGTACAGCCCATTTCTAACTTTGGTTGAAGCTGCAATTCCGTGCTGGAAACCGGCTATGAAACGAAAAATGCAAGAGATGGATTTGTTCATCAACGTTGATGCTTTGAAGGAGCCAGGACAAACACTTCAGGATAACCTTTCCCGTCATATTAAATCTATTGTGGAACGAACAAGTTGTGAGATTACCCCACAGAAATGTGTTGGTTGGTACAATCATACGATGACATATATCCCGGATTCTTTGTCCAGGAATAAAATAGATTGATGAACAATGGATGTTGCATAAAAAGCTATGATTCTGTATATTATATTATGTTCTTATTCATTTGAAATAACATGTGTTCAATTGAAGTCACTTGTGAGCACTCCATCTTTTCTATTCTTTAGAACTTACGAAATAAAGGTTCTTTCAATAGAAGTTACCTATAGTTCTTTTCAAATTACCGATTGTTCAATAGGCTTTAAAAAGGTGTAGTAAACTCCACCACCAAATAGCAAACGTGTAAAGGTCACGAAGAACGTAATCTACTTCTTGTTTCGAAAATGGATTTTTATTATCAGATTTCCCGGCGGAATTAAAATTTACCTATTGATCCTGTTTTCTGCAATTGGGTTAATTCAACCAAACACTTGGCAATCATAAATTGTTCCAGAATTTCAAAGAATGTCAAGGGCATTGATTAAAAAGTTTGAAATTGGAGTTTTCCAAAAAAAATATGTTTTAATTTTTTTGTTTACTGGCGTTCATTAACTTTTTCCGACTGTCTGTTGGCTATGTTCTTGTTTTTGGGTACTTAAACACATTATCGTCTCAGTACTAGCTCGGTAAATACTAAAATTGTATTCATTACTGGTGTTTGTGATTTTTGATAATTTTTCTGAAATAGTTTTAATTTTTCTTTTTTTTTCGATTTTGTGATTTTCGTCTTTTCTATTCGCTAGCTCGCAATGCTGCGCCTGCGGTGTTGCGCAAGTAATGCGAATCACTGTACCGTTTCTGTACAATACCATTCCATCTAATATAACAGGGATGTTAAGAGTTTCAAAAGTATTTACAAACCATTCAAGAGTTAAGAAAGTTTATCCACGAGGAAAAGGATCAACATACGAGCTGTTAAGCTCTCTACTGAGAACCACTGTAGTACCCCCCCTGGTTACCCTAGCGAGAGTAGTTTTTTAGTATGACTCAACATTACACCATTTCAAAGCCTATGAAAAAACCGTATTTTCAATTGAAATTCAAGAAATAATGCATGCTCAAATGTGTGTTCTTAAGTTCTTTTGAAATCCTGAAATTCCAATTGAATCACGCTCAAAATGGCCAAGTATCAAAACATTTCATGTGTCGACAAACTACGTTTAATCGAATCGAATTCGGGTGGAGAAGATTATATTGCTTTGGCTGACTGTTTGGGAACAAATCGGAACACTGCGTATACAATTGTGCGACGTGGGAGATATGAGAATTTACCAAAAAATGAATCATACAATAGAAAAATTGACGAAGAATTTATTTTGGTCGCTATTGACATTCTGGAGGGCAATCCACTGATGACCTTGCGGCAAGTTAATTTTGCGTTGAGAGCGCGCTTACCCCAAAAACCCCATTTTACACAACAAACACTATCAAAAGCATTAGAAGGGAGAATGACCAATTTCAAGCTTGCGAGAGATTGTCCTGCAAAGCGTAGCAGCGAAGAAAATATAGAAGATCGTTACAACTATGCATTGTGGATCATGAGCCTGGCGTCGTAAGTTCGCTAAAAAAAATTTTGTGGATGAATTTGGTGTAAATATCCACATGCGGCGTTCTCAAGGGCGATCTGCTAAGGGTGACAGAGTTTATAGAAAAGTCAGTGCCCAGAAAGGACCCAATCTTGCAATCTGTTGCGCAGTTTCGACGGAAGGCATTTTGCATTATCAGGTAATTCAAGGTGAAATGAAGAAGGACATTTTCAAAAGTTTTTTCGAAGTTCTAAATGGAAACGTTCTCTTTGACGAAGTGAACGATGCTGATGGATTTGCATTTTTTACAATGCTCTCGGGCACAGAAGAATTGAAGATATGGACCTTAGTGGAATATTCTCACTGAAGGGGCTCCCAAAGTACAGCTCATTTCTAACTTTGGTTGAAGCTGCAATTCCGTGATGGAAACCGGCTATGAAACGAAAATGCAAGAGATGGATTTGTTCATCAACGTTGATGCTTTGAAGGAGCCAGGACAAACACTTCAGGATAACCTTTCCCGTCATGTTAAATCTATTGTGGAACGAACAAGTTGTGAGATTACCCCACAGAAATGTGTTGGTTGGTACAATCATACGATGACATATATCCCGGATTCTTTGTCCAGGAATAAAAAAGATTGATGAACAATGGATGTTGCATAAAAACCAATGATTCTGTATATTATATTATGTTCTTATTCATTTGAATAACATGTGTTCAATTGAAGTCACTTGTGAGCACTCCATCTTTTCTATTCTTAGAACTTACGAAATGTTCTTTCAATAGAAGTTACCTATAATTCTTTTCAAATTACCGATTGTTAAACTCCACTACCAAATAGCAAAAGTGTAAAGGTCACGAAGAACGTAATCGACTTCTGGTTTCGAAAATGGTTTTTTATTATCAGATTTCCCGGCGGAATTAAAATTTACCTATTGATCCTGTTTTCTGCAATTGGGTTAATTTAACCAAACACTTGGCAATCATAAGTTGTTCCAGAATTTCAAAGAATGTCAAGGGCATTGATTAAAAAGTTTGAAATTGGAGTTTTTCAAAAATATGTTTTAATTTTTCTGTTTACTGGCGTTCATTAACTTTTTCCAACTGTCTGTTGGCTATGTTCTTGTTTTTGGGTACTTAAACACATTGTCGTCTCAGTAGTAGCTCGGTAAATACTAAAATTGTATTCATTACTGGTGGTTGTGATTTTTGATAATTTTTCTGAAATAGTTTTAATTTTTTTTTCGATTTGTGATTTTCGTCTTCTTTTCTATTCGCTAGCTTGCAATGCTGCGCTACGGTGTTGCGCAAGTAATGCGAAACACTGTACCGTTTCTGTACAATACCTGTCCATCTAATATAGCAGGGATGTTAAGAGTTTCAAAAGTATTTAGAAACCATTCAAGAGTTAAGAAAGTTTATCCACGAGGAAAAGGATCAACATACGAGCTGTTAAGTGATTATTTGGTGGCACTACTGCTGTAATCACGATCAGTAGCATAAGAATTTTCATAGCTTCTGTCCTCTGCTGTTTTTTGTGGCTAGTGTTTGCTTACTGTTAAGCACCAGTGCCTGAATGGGAAGCACGTGGTATTTTAAATTTTGAGGTCGCGGGATCGAATTGGACACAACAATAGGTTCTCTGTGATAAGAACTGCAGGCATTTTCGGACATTTTTCTGGGCTGGGTAATGCCTCACCCTCAAGCAAAGAGCACTTGTTCTGTTTCTGTTAGTATCTAACTCAAATTCAATGGGCTCGTCAAGAGATGAAGAGAGCGACGATGAGTCCTGGAGAACGAAAGATTACGAAGATGCGCTTCAGTGTGCCGGTTTCGGTAGGTTCCAGTACATTCTTGCTATGATATGTGGCTGGGCAAATGCGAGCGATGCAGTCGAGATTCTATCAGTGTCTTTTATTCTATCTCCAGCGCAGTGTGCTATGGGTTTGAAATCAAGTGAGAAAGGCGTTCTCAGTTCCATAGTGTTTGTGGGAATGATGATTGGTGGTTATTTTTGGGGATATTTGGCCGACATAAATGGACGCAGACAAGTGTTGATGGTGTCTCTGACTTTTAATGCCGTGTGTGCTATCATATCTAGTTTGTGTCAGACCTACTGGTGGTTCCTTTTGTTCCGACTTCTAAGCGGAATCGGGTAAGTTTCAAGCTGTTTAATTAATGAGAAAAACTTCCAAAGATTTTCTTCCCCCCCCCCTCTGCCTCGCATAAACCTGAATTTTACGCTGTAGCCAGTGGTTTCACAAGTAGTTTGAGTTGACCACCAAATACGCCAACTTTCGCGACGCTTTTGCAAGATGAACATACGTTTTATTTGATTTAATTCAAAAGCGGAGAAAATAAGTTCGTTTTAGTTCATAGGTTGCTCATACCATCCGTTTAATGGTTGCGTGTAACTTGCATAGATTCTTATTGGCCACCTCCAAATATTTTCTTGATATTTCAATGTATGCTTTTTGTGTTAATAGCAATTTTTTTTGCAGCGTAGGTGGATCGATCCCCGTTGTCTTCTCATACGTGGCTGAGTTTATGCCAAAACAACACCGTGGTAAAATGATCAGTGTTGTGGCCTTCTTCTGGATGTGTGGAAATATAGTGGCAGCTGCCCTGGCTTGGATTGTCATTCCGAGAGACTGGGGACACCGATCGGAACATTTCGATTACTCCAGTTGGAGAATTTTTATTGTAGTGTGCACGTTGCCGTCCTTGACCTCGGCTGTCTTTTTCGCATTGCTGCCCGAGAGTCCCAAGTTTCTCATACATGTCAGTTAAAATCACATATAAAATCACTTGAAGCGACCCAATGTTCATTTTCGCGTAAGAATTAGTTTTCCAGACAAGTCTCAAGGTAGCCTGAAAATTCGAATTTGCATGCAAAATTTGCTCAAAAAGGATAGATTGCTTTTCTTAATTCGTCCGGTCTTTTCATACTTTTTGATAGACATTTTTTTAGTTGGGAAGATGTAGCGTCTGTGTTAAGACCCTCACTAATCCTTCGTGCTTAGGACAGAGTTCGTGTTTTTTTAATGCAAGTAGCTATTAACCATCGCTCTCAAATAATCGATGAATTATCTCATATTGAATATATTTTTTTAGAAAGGAGAGGAAACGAAGGCCTTGCAGGTGTTGGCGATGGTTTACCAGATTAACAAGAGAAGAGCCCGTCAGTTCTACCCGGTAAGATGACAAAACCTTTCTTTTCATTTTTTTGGGTAGTTAAGATTATTTACTATTCAATTGGAAGCCAAGGTTAGAAAATAATGAACTTATAGATTAACTTAAGTCAGCATATATAATTTCATCCATGACGGACCGAAAATTAATCTCAACTCGATGGTATTTAATAGTTTATCATTCATGAAAGTATAAATTATTTGTGAAAATGTTGTTAGTTAGGCCTCAGTAGTCAGGTCTGGTGATTCTTTTCGCCTATGACGCTATAGATATCGGGACTATTAGGCTGCATGTAAGGGAACGCACTCGAAATTGTAGCACTTATGTATGAATACCAATCGCCGGTATGCACACATAAGCGGTTTTTCAATAGATCAAACTTGAAAAAAAAGCTCACTCCCTCGCTAGGATCAAGCGATATTATTATCAGAAAGGACCGCCCTCGAGAGGGAGCTGGACTACTTACGGCCGTACACAAACCACTTCTCTACGAAGAGTTGCAAACTGTAAAAGACGGGACATTAGAGGCGCAGTGTTTTGAAATAGTGGCCAACAACCAAAGCCACCGGTTCCCAAATTTTTACACTTCCCCGCGCAGTCGCTGCCCTAAATACTATACAGCTTAAATTACTCAGCTGTTCGCGAAAGACAATGTTATTTTCATGGGAGATGCAAATTCCCATTCCCTTCTCTGGTATTCAAATATCGCGGAAGGCAACAGGCGCCCATTTAGGCGCAGAAATTACTGACTCTGACTTCGTCCCTTTGAATGATCTGTCACAAACTTGTTTACCGTTCGGCAACTTAAGCTTCTCAACTTCTTTCTGTTCCTTTTGCGGCGCTCACCTTCATGAAGGTTAGCCAGGGTGTTAACCAACTGGTGTCGAGCTAGGTTAGTTTTAGAGACAACTTTTACCCAGCTTTGGAACAGAGTTACTGGCCTCCGGGCCCGTTTGTTTACCTTCTGTTTGTCTTAGTAGGAGTATGGCTCGGCTAAGACTCCTTCCTTCCCAACAAGGATAACCAGATTCGTCCGCTTGCGTGTCTTGCAACACTTTTTCTTGCTTGGGGAGATGTCCTTTGCGCTTTCCACCAATTGTACGTAGAAGATCTTGGACCTCGCTCCACATCCCCTGACTTATCCTTAGCATCGTTTTTTTTTACTATCTCTAAGTTGGAAACCACTGTTAACGTGAGGGTCTGACCATCTACCTATTTTAATTAGTCTCTCTCTAACGGAAGATACTCCTTTTCCTGCCAAATAAACTTAAAAATTTTAAACAATAGAAACAAGGTCGAGTTCACTGAAAAAACTGAGAAATTCTCTAAAATTGTTTTCATGAAAGGCGTTAAGGTCGCCAAAATTTTTTTACGAAACACCATTCTAAAGGCCGCATGGTGCTTTTATCGGTAGAACGCCTCTCTTTATGCCTCTGCCTTGATACTAAAAAGCTAGCGCAAGGGTGCGATAAAAAATAGACAGAGAACCACTCAAATCCTATTTTAACTAAGATTTGATGAAAGAAACGGCAAAAGAAAAAGAGAAGAAATTGCAGGATTTATTCCGGACGTTTAATCACCACACGTCCAATAAGTTTTTGGAAAGTGGTTCGCTCCTTAAATGGAACCAAATCCGTTGCAGAATCTCACCCAATCTCTTTTAATGGCGAAAAGTTAGCAGAGGATAAACAAATAGCACACGCTTTTAGCACTCAATACACGAAACTCCGAACCTATAAGTCCAAGAAACAACAGAGAAACACCAGCTAACTTTTTTCACTGCGAAACAGAAGAGGCTATCATAGCAGCTGAACCATCAAAAGCATTGTGCCCAGACATTCTCTGCACGGTACACCTCAAACATCTGGGATCAACTGCTATCAATTTATAACACATACCTTAACTTGTCCTTAATGTATAAGAAAATACCCTAAATTTGGAAGAAGTCACAATCAGTCGCCGTCCAGTCTTGCCGTCCAGTCTTAAATTTAAGCCCAGCAGTGAAAGTTTAAGAATCTTCAGTCCATCCTACTCTTATAAAGAATCTTTCTAAAGCAGACCATCAGCACGGCTTTCATTCACTCCAGACCACCACTACGGAACTAGCAACTCTTGATTTTTTTTTCAACGGTTTTTATAAAAAAATGACCATCTGAAAGAATTGTGCTGGCCACGTTAGAGTTGTCGAAAGCATTCGAAATGGTCTGGCATTGCACAACACTGGAACTTAATCGTGCCAGCACTGTATCAGATAGATCAACCAAATTGCTTGCAAGTTATCTGAGCATCAGGCAAGCCCAAACGCAATTTGGGGGCCCTTGTCATTCAGCCTTGTCTTAAATAGAACAAACATGTCCCCAAATAGACTTGTGGCTTCGTTCGACGGAGGTAGCAACTTTCCTTTAACTCGGCGAGAGCATGCCTGACGCGCTTCAAACAACGGGCTAATAACAACAACAGATTGCTCTCTCGTTGCAGTAAACTCATTTGAAAGGCATGTTTAGGTAAAGTTTGTTCTGGACGCTGTTAATCTCCAATTTAACACTGGTTGCTTGTTTTGAAGTGCTGCCTTGCCTTGGCGTTGAATTCAACAATTATAATTTTTCAACTTACAATATACAACTTAGTAAGATCCAAGGTTATACCGTGAATTGGATTTTTATATTAAGTGGTGAAAGAGCCAAAAAACTCATTGTCGCTCGATTCATGATTGAAGAAGTTTCAAAATGCTAAATCACTAAACTTTGAATGTTATGATTTCGATTGAATTCATCAATTTAAATTTCATAAACAACTTCGGAAGATCCAGCTTATACCGTCAATCACATGAAATTTTGTAGTTTTTAAAGCTCCTCCACACTTGTCATTGATTTTTTGATTTTTCCTAGGTGAAACCGTAGAAATCAAGATTTTTTTTCTGAATTTGGCACTGAATAGCTGGCTATTTTGTTCTCGGTACAAATGGCTTTTTGAATCGAAATCTTGACTAAAAGTTTTTCAAAATAGTACAATTGATCCCTTTTCAGTTTCTTTGACTAGCTATAAATATGGTGGATACTTCTTCCTACGCCATAATTCTTCTCAACCCTAAAGTAGTCGGAATACTTATTCGAGTTTTTTCGATTCAAGCACCAACCCTGAATCTCATAAATTGAATCTCATAAAAATTATTTCTGACTTTGTGAGATTCAGGGTTGGTGCTTAAGTTGATTTTTTTTTCGCGGGCCTTGCTTTTTTCCACCCGTACACAGTTCCACTACCCATCTGTTCAAGGAAGTAGATATGCCGGTTAGAAAGAACTGTTAACTTCTCGATATTTACACTAGCAAGCTTGTGAGCGTTAGTGTATTAGTACGAACCGTTTTTTTAAAACTTACTCGCAAATAAGAGTGTTCACTTATTTGTTGGCACTTTTGTTATAATCACGATCTGTAGCATTGGAAATTTCATTGCATCTGTCCTGCTTTTTTGTGGCTAGTGTTTGTGATTTATTAAGCGTCCGTGACTGAGTGGATAATGTGCAAGACTCATAACCTCTAGATTGCAGATCGAAAGCAAGACGTAGCCGAATTTTTACTAATTCAAGGCTTATTTCTACCTTTTCTTATTGCACTTTATAGAGCTGCTTTTTGTCGTGTTTGCGAAGTGAAGCTTCGTCTCTGTGTTTATCTCCACTACCACCTGAATAAATTTTTTTCACGCCCACGTTTCTTCCATTGGTCAGGTACCGCCATCTATTTTAAGTTGCCTTAGTTATTTTTTTTTCAGCCCCATGCTAGACAAAAATCCGCGCTGAGTTTTTACTAGTCGAGACGAAGTCTCTTCTTTTGTTTTTAATAAAAAAGCAGTTAACGAAGTGGTTTGCAGAAACTGGACCCTCCAAGGTCATCTGTATCCCTACCGCAACAGTTGACCTTTCAGAGCAACCGCTTTCCAGAAGTACCAGCTGTAAACTCTGAAACGGTTACATTCGGCTTTTCAACACCTACCTCTCCCGACTATACAGCTTTTCCCCCTCTTTGCACAAATTGTTCTCTTGAACCCCACTCAACTCGTTCCTGTTTAAATGCCCCAATAACTGTTCCTGGTTTACCCCCGCAAACCTGTGGTCTCGGCCGGTGAATGCCACGAAGTTCCTCTACTAGGAGTCAGACGAGCCCAACACGACAAACGTGGGCTAATAAACAAACAAACAGCTCATACTTTGCAATGCCTATGTGTGCGCGTGTGTATGTGTATTGAGGGGAAAGAGCTTTGTAATTACGTTTCTTCAGCGCCAATTTAGCTCTGAAACCTAAAACTTATCATTTATGAGCGGGAGTTCGAATCCGGGAGCTTTTTGCTGAACTTTCATATTATTCAAATCATGGAATAAAAGCAATCATTGGTAGCAATTTTTTTCGAAGTTTTAACGAACAGCTCTCTACCCATATGAATTTGGAAAAAATCCAGTGAGCACAAGTGATCTGTGGCTAATTTGTTTGTTATTTCCTGTTGTAGGTGAAGTCTATCCTTCTGGACGACTACAACTGCAACAGATATGATACTATTTCATCCACTGGTCCCTCTGTAATACACACCTCATCAAATCTGGTCAAGAGAGTGCTCCTCGACACATTACATAAGATAGCAGCTGTGTTTGCAACGACGTGGAGTCTGTTCAAGCCCCCTCTTACAAGGAGGACTTTAGTATTGGTAGTGCAGATGTTCACGCTCTCATTTGGGTTAGTCAATGTTTATGGTCCCTCTGATTCTAATTTTTAAAGGTTAATGAACGAATTGAAGACTCTTTTTAGGTCGTGTGGTTACTTTTTTTTTCTTCATTTTTTCTTCATCCAAAGTTGTTTAGGTTTATTGGATTTTTCGCGCTTAGACCTTTGATTTATTTTCAGTTCAAATTATTTTGTCAAATGGAAGTCAAATTAAGCCCTTCAAGAACACAAGAGCAAATGACGAAAAGTATGTACTTGGCTTGTTGTTTCAAAAGTGGATTTTAATTTTTCGATTTAACCGTGCAATAAAAAGTTTACTTATTAATCCGTTTTTTTTTTAAATTGGGTTAGTTTCATTAAAAATGTCACTCATAAATTTTTTTTTAATTCAGTGAGCTTTAAGGCCATATTTTGTTTCTTTCACTCAAAAGGTGAAATTTGATCAAAAAAGTCATCTTTTGGTCTCCTTTAGTTCGTTGAAATTTTATGGAAAGCGTTCTCTATAGCTGAATGTTTTTATACCGACGGAGCGTGGTGTGATTTTACGGTCTCGACTGTTTTTTCAACCTAAGTCGCAATTAGATGTGCTCATTATTTTGCATTTTTGTATCTGGGACCTTTTGCTTCAAAGAGTTTTTTTTGTATCTGTTTATCGTTGACTAGTTTCACAAGCGAAGTGAAGTGTATTATTACGAACCTTTTTTTTTCCAACCTAAGTCGCCAATAAAAGTGCTCATTAGTGTCACTTTTGGTATATTTCAATTTCATCATATTTAAGCATAGGAAATTTAATAGCATATAGTGCTGGTTTATTTTTGGCTAGTGTAAGGGTCCTGTTTGAAAACAACAGGTGTTATGAAAATGTATGGGATTTGTTAATTTTTGTTTTTTTTGCGACCCTTTGGAAAATTTTCATTTTTTTTCTCAAAACTTTTGAACCAATTTTCAAAACAATGGTGTCATTGGAAAAACCGGCTGCTATTTTATGTGCCTGCAAATTTTGCTAGTCTCTTTTCAGTTTACGCCACGTTCTACGGCTTTCGAAAGTTTCAGTAAAGGGGTTTTTTGACTTATTTGATTTTGAATTTGTTCGTTTCCTCAAATATTAAATGCATAAATCTGAGATGAACGTTTAAACTAAAGAACTAATCATTGGGATCTCTCCTTCTCAAGCGGCTTTTCCCTAAATTCGGAAGAAAAAATTATGGTCTCAAGCAAGCCCATTTTTTGACATTTTGGTTAATTAATAAGTTTTTTTGACTTTTCTCAAAAACTACCCTGCCAAATCGGAGACCAAGAGTTCAACTGGAAAAAAAAGTGGTATGCGAATCTTCCCTGCGCAAGCGGCTATGCCCAGCTTTTTGAAAAAATATGGCCTTAGAAAATATACAATTTTTGAAACTTTGTCCATTTTTTGGAAACTTCTTTTTTTCTTCAAAAACTAACCTGCTGATTGTTAGGTTGATAATTCATTCAAACTAACATCGTGCTTGGTTTTTTCCTGGGTAATCTGTTTCGCCTTATTTGTTTTGTAAAAAAAACGATATGGACATCGGAAAAATCCATTTTTTTTTGAAGTTTTTACCGTTTTTTTTTATAGAAATTTCATCACTGTTCTCGAAAGCTACTAGCTAAAGCCGATATTAAGGATTCAATCTAAAAATCAGGGTGTGGAAATCTTCCCTGCATACGAGACTATTCCCATGCTTTAAAACAGAAAATTTTGTGAATTTAGGAAAAGCCAACTTTTTCAATTTTTGATAGTTTTTCGGAATCTTTTTCATTTTTTTTTCGAAAACTACCCAGCCAAATCTGCGATAAAGATTTCAGTTGAAAGATCGATTATTAGTTTTTTCTTTAAAAATGCAGAAAATCACTAGGGTTTTGCGTTAAGTCCATTTTTGAAACGTTTAAAATTACGCATTTCGGTGTCAGTACAAAATATGATCGAAATATTAAAACATATGAATCTAGCATAAGCTGGGCAATTAGTTTTTCTTCCAAGCGTCCGTGGCGCGATTGCGAGGAATTGGAAATCAACCGGTAGGAGATCCAAATCCGGAACATTGAAAAAGTTAGTTTTATGGTAGAGTTTTTCCTGCATCGCATTGATAATTCGATTGAAACTGCAGCTGCTTTATTGGTGGCTAGTGTTGATAAAATTACAAGCGACCATGAAGCAGATGTGATAACGTGTTACTCCCAAGCCTTGCAAAAAAGTTTCTCAAGGTGTCTTTTTAACCTTTTCCTTATTTCACTTTTTTTGCCTGTTAGAGATCTTTTTTGCATTTTCCTCGCTTGTGTTTGCAAAGCGCCGCTTCGCCTCTGTGTAAACAGTTAATGGGAAAACGTATGGGATTTGGTTTTTTAATGTTTATTTTAAGAGACGCTTATGGAAAAAAAATAAACTTTTTGAAAAAATTGTAGTTTTTTCGAGAAATATATTACCGGGCGTTCTGCGGCCTTCGAAAATTTCAGTTGGGTTTTTTTGGTTTATTCTCATTCTCTCGAAAACGACCTTGACAATTCTGAGGTTAAGGGTTCGTCAAAAGAGCCTGTACTGGGAGCTCCCCTGCATAAACTGTTACATCCTAATTATTGGCCTAATGATCCAGGTTTCTCAAGTTGGGTTAGTTTTATCAAAGCGCCAAATCAGCGGAACGAGCAGGTGCTAGAAAATTTCTCTGCATAGCGGCTACGTCCTATTTTGTACAACAGCAATGTTAAATCTAGAAAAAGTCCATTTTCGAAATGTTAACCGTTTTCTAAATATCGAAAACTACGCTGCCTCACCTAAGATTCAATCGAAAAAACGTGCGATAGAAAATTTCGGTTCATAGCGGCTACGCCCGAATTTTGTTATAAATCTTTGTTAGTTTCGCCTGCCTGCATAAGCGGATTTTCGAAAAAAAAATTTGGTCAATTTTTCAGTCGTTCTTTTAAACTTTTCCAACTGCCTGTCGGCTACGTTTAATTGCTTATAACTGCTGCAAAATCAGCGATTATTTGAAACACAAACTAATTAAATTGAATCAATTTCATGCACCCTTCCTTTCTCTTTTCCCCTGCTCTCAAAAGGTACCATTTGTTCTCTGATTGTTTACTGTTTGTTCAGCTACTATGGTCTCTGGTTGTGGCTTCCCACTCTACTGGACGACATGAACAAGAACGGAGGCAGTGCTTGTGACAGACCCTCCAACACTAGCTCAGCCTCCGACCCAGACTGCAATCAAGGTGATAACACACCATTCAGTTTTCAATTCTAAGTTCAGCTGAATACATTGTATCAAATATAGACAAGACAAATGGAGCATACAAACGGTTCTGCTAGTTACTGATTATCCCCTGATTCTTTTCTATATGACGGGCGGATCCTCGATTTTTGAGATGGAAGAGGAGAATTTAAGGAAAAAACTTCTGTTCGGTGAGCGCTACGTCCCTCCATCCTTCAAAACTCATGAATATTAGAACTGTCGAAAATGGATGTCATTAAGAAGTACCACAGCAAGGAACCTGTGGGCGGCCATGGTGTCGAGGTACCACCAGGCCCAATATAATTCACACCTGGCCTATATGGAAATAATTTGTTGTCATAACTGAAATTATTTGATCTTCAGTGGCGATTTCAAGGTTACGAGTTTTTTAGTAAGTTGGATAGCTTTGGTTAATATTCCATGAAGTATTTTGTGATGATGTTTTGTGTCAGATGGGAGTGCGAACATAGATGACGAAGTATATAAGCAGTCCTTCATCACATCTCTCTCCAACTTGCCCGGAAACATACTAACCATATTCCTAGTAGACTACACCGGCAGAAAGGTAGTTAAAAAATTAATAAACAACTCATTTCTGGCTTAAATTTTAAACAAAAACCAGTGTTAATGTATTATATACATACCATGATTTATTTCGAGCTTGAAAGAGTATCAACAGGCCATATGGCACGTTTTCAAATATCCGTGAACTGAACATTAAGTTTTTTTACACTACGAGCAGGGTAGTGTATTAGTACGAACCTTCTTTTTTCTAACCTAATTGAGCAGGGTAGTGGTTTAGTCCGAACCTTCTTTTTTCTAACCTAATTCGCAAATAAAAGTGTTCATTGAAAATGTTCATTTATTTGGAGGCACTTTTGCAATATTTACGATCTGAAGCATTGGAAATTTCGTATCATTGGTTCTCTGCTTTCTTTGTGGCTAGCGTTTGTGATTTATTAAGCGTCTGTAGCTGAGTGGTTATTGCGTGAGACTCATAATTGCTAGGGCATAGTAGGTGTGTTATCGAATCCTAGACTTAGCCGAATTTTTATTAATTCGAGGCTTTTTTCTACATTTTCTTATTGCATTTTATAGATCTGCTTTTTGTCGTGTTCTCACTAAAGTTTGCGCAGTGAAGCTTTGCCTCTGTGTAATTGACTATTTTAACGATTATTTAGGCATTTGGAAACAAACATAGCAAACAAAGCTTAATTAGTTTTTTCAAGAGTCAATGACCGTAGTTCAGACTCTTATATAGGTCTTAAAATTTGTTCAGGCAAAAGGAAGGCAAGCTCCACTATCAATTAGCAAAAGTGTGATGGTTAGAAAAAACGTGATCGACTTTACCTTTTGATCCAGATTTCTCAAATTGAGTTTGATTTTATATAAAAAAAGTATCAAACATATTTTCTTGAAACTCAAAGAGCTGTAAAGCCATATCTGTTTTACATTGAAATGTAGAAGTTAAGATTTCATGTAGCATTGGAAATTGCATAGCATCTGTTCTCTGCTTAATTTGTGGCTAGTGAGATTCCCAATCACGAGGGCGAAGTAGGTCGTAGGTTTGAACCTGATACATATCCTAATTTTTTAAACTAATTCGAGGCTTATTTCTACTTTTTCTTATTGCACTTTATAAAGCTGCTTTTTGTCGTGTTCTCGCAAGTATTTGCGAAGCTTCACCTCCGTGTAAACTAATTTTATTTATTTAAAAATAAACTGCTTTCAGGCTTTTAATTTCAAACAATTAAAATGCTGTTCAGCAATTCAATTAGATGAAACATCAATTGGGCTAATGGCAAAGCGAAAGAAATGTTATTTGGCGTGGGTTGTTTAAACAAGCAAGTAGTGCCACAATGTAAACCGACGCATCATATAGTGGGTTATTTTGGTAGGCTGTTCTCCGATTTTTTCCAGAGGAAACTAGTCTTCAATATAGTTGATTAAATGTAAAATAAAAGAGTGATTCTCAGTTATATAATAGGTATTGATAATTTTTCGTTTTTTTTCCCTAATAACTGCAGAAGTTCATTTATACATATTGATGCATTTATGAATGCACTTAGGTATATATGCGCTTTTGATTTTTATTCAATATCATCTGCTTAAAATTGAGTAAATGGCGTCCTCTCATTTCGAAAGCGGAAATTATGCAAAGAAAACGTCAAGGACTTCTAGTTTTCAAAAAGGATTTTAAAGTTCCTAGCGGAATAAAAAAATTTACTCATTGATCCAGTTTTCTTAAATTGGGGCAACTTTATCAAACATGTTCCAATCATAAATTGTTCTTAAAGTTAAAAAAGCTTAAACCCGATATATTTTTAATTGTAAGGAACGTAGTGAAGACTCTTATATAGGTCTTGGTGATTTTTTTGTTTTTTGTTTTCAGGAAAAGTCTTAAAATGCTCTTATAACTACAGTTGTGCATTCATACATTTTAATGCATTTTCTAATGTATCTGATAAATATGCTTTTGTTGAGAGTATTGAACGTAGTGAAGACTCTTATTTAGGTCTTGCTTATTTTTTTCAGGAGAAGTTTAATAACTACAGATGTGCATGCATACATATTGATGCATTTATGAATGCACTTAGGTATATATGCACTTTTTGAGTTCAACTGAAATTCATCTGCTGAAGAAGACGTAAATAGCACTCTCAAAAAACGAACGTGGAAATGGCGCCAAAAAACGTGAACGATTTCTAGTTTCGAAAGTGGAATTTAATTTTTTGATTTCCAGCTGAAGAAAAACTTCACCTATTGATGCAGTTTTCTCAAGTTGTGTTAGTTTTATCAAAGAGCCAAATCAGCAGAACGAGCAGGTGCTAGTAAATTTCTCTGCATAGCGGCTACGTCCTAGTTTGTACAAAAGCAATGTTAAATCTAGAAAAAGTCCATTTTCGAAATGTTAACCGTTTTCTAAATATCGAAAACTACGCTGCCTCACCTAAGATTCAATCGAAAAAGCGTGCGATAGAAAATTTCGGTTCATAGCGGCTACGCCCGAATTTCGTTATAAATCTTTATTAGTTTCGCCTGTCTGCATAAACGGATTTTTCCGATTTGTGCAAGGAATCTGCTATTTATCTAAGAAATATTTGTCCGTTTGAGTCATTTTTGGAATTTGTTCAATTTCCCTAATTTCCAAATAAACTAATCAAACTGGGGAGTTGTTATCTCCCCAGAAAAAGCGTGTTATCCGTACTTTTGTCGATAGGAAACAGCTTGGGAGTTGGTAATCGTCCAAAAAAATTTTCTTTTTGACACACTTTGAAAGTTATGCATTACCTTTCGCATCAGTATATTTTTGAAAGTATCATAAAAAAGGTACCTCTTTGCTAGTCCCCTAGTGTTCATTTTATGGTAAGCAGTCTTGAAGCAGATGGTGCGACGCGTGATTATCAATCGCCAGATCGGAGGTTCGTTTCCGACACATAAAAGAATTTTTATTAGTTTTTATTATCTTTCTTTTTTGACTCTTTTAAGCTACTTATTGCTTTTTTCTCGCTTGTGTTTGTAAATTCCAGCTTCGCTTCAGTTTCAATAGTGCAATTTTTATTGGTGTATTTCTGTTTTTTAAGAAATTTTTTTCCGAGCAATAACTGATTTTCTCGAGAAAAATGAGATTTTCAGAAGAAGGTTTTTGAAAGTTTTAAAATTTGTTCACGCTCAAACTGTGTTTTCGCGGTTTGACTTTTATAGTTATTTTTAATATCATTCTTCTTCTTTTTTTAGGTAAGGCAAACTTCACTATTGAACAGCGAAAGTGAAAAGGTTACGGAAAACGTGAATGACCTCTAGTTTCGAAAGTGGAGTTTAACTTATAGATCGTAAATTGTTTTAGAAATTCGAAGTGCGTAAAGGACATCTTTTTTCTTTGAAATTCGAAAGTTGAGATTTTTTCAACAAATTCAGTGTTTTATTCTGTTCACTTGCGTTCATTACTCTTTTCGAACTGTCAGTTGGCTATTTTCAAGAGTAATAAGCGTAGTGAAGACTCTTATAAAGGTCTTGCTGTTTTTTTTCAGGAAAAAGTCTCAAAATATTGATACACCTGGTTATATATGCTCTTTTTGAGTTCAATTGAAATTCATGTGCTGAAAGTTACGTAAATAGCACTCTCCAAATACGAACGTGGAAATCGCGCGAAAATTCGTGAACGATTTCTAGTTTCCCAAGTGGAATTTAGTTTATAGATTTCTAGCTGAATAAAAACTTTACCTGTTGATCCAGTTTCTCAAGTTGGGTTAATGTTATCAAAAAAGCGCCAATCATGAATCGTTCTAGAAATTCAAAGAGCTTAATTACTCAAAGAGCTTAATTCAAAGAGCTGCGTTCATTACTTTTTTCCAATCTTCGATTGGCTATGTTTACTTTTTACCAATCGTCTGTTCTAGTTTGAAAGGTTTTTTGAAGACGAGTTTCCACGTTTCAGCCCTACTTTTGGCTGAGCAGTTTTAATATGTCACCATTGACACGTAAAATTCGACTCTCTCGCAATGATTGTACTTAAATTTATTTAGTTGTTTTGCTGTTGACTTCGATAAACGGTTAAATCAACCATTGAAGCGCAAGTCAAAAAGTATCTAAACATGTAGCAATGTCCTCAATCTTAATTGAAGATTCATAGCAAAATGCTAGCAAGTTTCAAAACTCTGAGGAAAAAGTTGTGTTGATCCATTTTTTAAATTGGGTGAATTTCTAAATTTAAAAAATGCCAAAAGATTCGAAGAGACTTAAGGTAATTATATTCTCTTTGAAGCTCGCAAATTTAAAACTGTTCAAAAAAATCAATCGTTTTTTTGGTATTTGTATTTGTTAGTTCATTCACAATTTTACAACTCTGTTTTCAATTAAAACTCGAAAGATAAAACTGTTTCAAATAAAATCACTGGGTTTTTCAGTCTCCATCAGGTCATTGACACTTTTCATCTTTATTTTTGCTGTTTTAGTCTCTGCTGGTATCAAGCATGATCCTGTCCGGTGTATCGGTGCTATTCATCTGGCTGGTGCAGACCACCACCCAGACTCTCATCATGATGTGCATATTCGGAGGCATATCGGTCATCGGCTGGAATGTGTTGGATGTATTGCAATGCGAGTTGTATCCTACCAATAAAAGGTCGGTCACGATACGTTTTTTTAAATGAATCATATTTTTTTACCCTTGCGAAAGCAAGGGTCTTGTAATCGTGAACTAGACATTTTTCCGTAAACAAATTTTTAACTTGCATTATTATTGAATCTTAAAAACTTCCAGGTTCCGTTGCAATTAGTCTAGAGGTAACGCCATCGCCTTTATATCTTAAGGTCCGGGGCTTGCATCGCGGGAAGATTTTTTCCGATAAAAATTGATTTGTCGGACTTTCGTTTACGTGCTCAAGTTTCGTCTAATTTCGAAAAAGGAGCGTAATTATCAGATTTCCCAGAGAAAAAAACTTTATTTTTGATCCAGCATAGACAGTTTAATAGCATAGGTTACTGCTTTATTTTTGGCGAATGTTAGGTCCTGTTTGGAAAAAAAAACAGATATAATGAAAATGTATGGGATTCGTTGTTTTTTGCAACACTTTGGAAAATTTTTGCACTTTCCCAGAAATTTTTCTCAAAAACTACTGTACTGATTTTAAAATAAATGAGAACGATGGAAAAAAATCGGCTCTTCTTTGTGCCTGTATATTTAGCTAGCCTGTTCTCATTTTACTTCACGTTCTACGGCCTTCGAAAGTTTCAGTAGGTAGATTTTTGACCTAATTGTTTTTAGTTCTTTCATTTTCTCAAATATTAAAGCCCAAATCTGAGATGAAAGCTTCAATAAAAAGAACAAATCATGAGGATTTTCCCTTCTCAAGCGGCTATTCCCTAAGTTTGGTCAGAAAAAAGTCATGGCCTTAAACATACCCATGTTTTGACATTTGATTAAATTTTTTTTACTTTTCTCAAAAAGTACACTGCGAAATTGGAGATTAAGGTTTTAATTGAAAGCAAAAAAAAAACCTACAACCGTCCATGTCTTACGGTTTGAAAAAATATATGGCATTAGAAAAGGTCCAATTTTGAAATGCTGACCGTTGTTTCTTGGAATTGTTTTTCAAAAACTAACCTGCTGATTCTGCGGTTGATAGTTTATCAAACTAACATGGTGCTTAGATTTTACCTGCGTCATCACCTTTGTCAAAAGCTACTAGCTAAATCTGATATTAAGGGTGCAGTTCAAACTTTATGGTATGAAAATCTTCCCTGCATAAGAGGCTATTCCCATGCTTTAGTAGAGAAAAGTTTATGGATTTAGGAGAAGTCAAATTTTGAACTTTCGATCATTTGTGGAATCTTTTTCACTTTCGAAACTTACCCTTCCAAATCTGAGTGAAATAATTTGCTTGAAAGAGATAGTAGTAGTTTTCCCATTTAAATAAGTGGCTAATTCGCTACTTAACCAGAGAAATCTTAAGGGTTTGCCATCACTGGTGTATATTCCATTCTTTTGAAAATTACTTATTTCCGTATCAGTACTAAAACATCAGTATTAAAACAGGCGCATCCAGCATTAGCTGGGTCACTAGTTTGTTTCCAAGCAGCCGTAGCGCAGATGCCAGGACAGGAGACACCAAATCACCAGGTCGGAGACACAAATCCGGAACATTGAAATAGTTTTTTTGGTCGACTTTTTACTACAGCATTGGCTACTTGATAGAAATTGTAGCTGATTTATTGTTGGCTTGTGTTAGTAAAATTACACGCGATCGTGTTGCAGATGTGAGAACATGATACTCCTAATCTCAGGTTAAAATTTTTCTCAAGTTGTTTTTCAATCTTTTCCTTTCTTTTTGTTTTGCCTGTTTAGACCTCTTTTTTTTGCGTTTTCCTTGCTTGTATTTGCGGAGCGCAGCTTCGCCTCTCTGTTAATCATTACAATACATCACAATAGTACTGACTAAAATCTTATTAAGAGTATTTTACGTAGCGAAGACTCTTATATAGGTCTTCCTGATTTTTTTGGTCAGGAAAAGTCTTAAAAGTCTCTAATAACTACACATGTGCATTCATACATATTGATGCATTTATGAATGTACTTAGGTATGTATGCACTTTTTGAGTTCAGTTGATACTCATCTGCTGAAAAAGACGTAAATAGCTTTCTCCAAAAACGAACGTGGAAATGGCGCGATAAAACGTGAACGATTTCTAGTTTCGAAAGTGGAATTTAATTTTTAGATTTACAGCAGAATAAAAACTTTAACCATTGATGCAGTTTTCTCTAATTGGGTTCATGTTATAAAAAAGCGCCAATTATAAATTGCTCTAGAAATTCAAAGTGCTTAAGGGGCATCTAATTTTTTCTTTGAAATTCGAAAGTTCATATTTTTCCAAGAAATTCAGTGTTTTTAAGAGTAATGTACGTAGTGAGTGTTCTTATATAGGTCTTGCTGATTTTTTTTGGTTTTTTCTGTAAAAAGTCTTAATATTTGTTCGCGCTCAATTTTGATTTTTCGCGGTTTAACTTGTGTTTTCTTTTTAATTTCAGCGCCTTTCTATTGTTAAAAGGACGGCAAACTCCACTATCGAACAGCAAAATTGTAAAGGTCAGGAAAAACTTGATCGACTTCTAATTCCGAAAAATTATTTATCAGATTTTCCAGCGAAATAAAAATTTTACCGATTAATCCAGTTTTTTCAAATTAGCTTAATTTTAACAAAACTGTCTGTTCGCTATGTTTTTTTATGTTAACTTGCGTTCATTACTCTTTTCCAATCTTCGATTGGCTGTGTTCGATATTTTTTCGATATGATTTTTAGGAATGAAAATATAATGTGCTTGTGTTTTGTTTTAGAGCCCTAGCAATTGGCTTCTTAACTCTAGTTGGCCGAATCGGCTCCATCATTGCCAATCTTGCCTTCGCAGCTCTCATTGAGGAGCATTGTGCAGTTCCCATCCTAACAGTAGCTGTATTCATGCTATTTGGAGGCTTCTTAGCGTTATTCTTGCCGAACATGCAGGGAAAGCCGTTGGAGTAGAAAAAAAACTGGTAGAAATCTACTTTAAATTTATGCCAGTCGGGCCATTACTGTAGATTATACTTAGAATTGAAATTATTTATTGAATTTTTAAATTTTATGCATATCTGAAAATTGTAAAGGTTTTATGTCTATTTATTTTTGACATCCTACTATTGATGAAATTGAAATTTAATTTCATTCAAAATACAGCATTTTGAAAGTATAAGTGCAGTTAAATATTAGTAATTAACGAATTTTCGATTGGAATGCCCGCTTTGATTTTTCAAAGCAGATCTTTTTCAAATTTAACTTTCAAAGCAGATCTGAACTTACTAGTTGGAGTCGCAAACGAGAAAATGGTGGTATAAAACGCTCAGGAATTTTTTATTCAAAAAAGGGGTTCAATGGCCGGGTTAGGCTTTCAGAGACGACTCTCGTAACAAACAATTTCTCGATGTAAATGTTTGGAATAATTTTAAGTTTTCAGCACTGGTCTGCCTCCGTCGAATTCAAACAGATGGTGTATAACCAGATGATAATGTTTGATTTTCAGAATTCACAGCGGAATTAAAATGCCTTTATCAAATTTTTTTTTATCGAAAAAATTGAACCGGGCCTCCCTGAAACAGCGCCAGATTTTAATATCGCCGCAGGCGAGAGAATACTTTGGGACGTAGTCCTCGGGGCAGCACGCCACCAGCCGTTTCATCAACCCCGCCTTTCTTTCTCTGAGGAATCTCTCACTCTCGCGCCAGAAAGAGATTTTAACCGTCATTTTAACCACGCTATAAATCGTGAACAAGCTTACCAACTGAATGGAAGAGTTTTGTCACAGACAGCAAAAGAGAAAACAAATGGCGTCAATTCCTCCAGACCTGTGATTGTCGCGTTGGCGCCAGATTTTTCTGGAAAGTAATACGTCCTCAAACGGATCCAGGCCTGTAGAAGGTAGCACCCTATTCAAACTGACTCAAAATCGATCAAGTTCCCACAAGACAGCCAAAGTTTTTAACAAACGTTTACTAAAGCAAGGACCCACACTTCGGACAAACTGCCTTGTACAACGAGACGCAAAATAGCCAAGCTTCCTTTTTCCACTGACCCTATTCTCCCCACAACAGACTAAACAAGCCATTGCGAACAGCACACATTCCCGAGCACTCAGCCTAGATCGCCTGTGCAATGATCACTTGAACTATTTCGGTTTTCTAGCCTTGCACTACTTAATTTGTCTTCTTACTTCTTCGCTGTCTGAAAACATAATCCCGCAAATGTATAAAAACTCGAAAATAATACCCTTGCACAAACTAGATAAAGACTCAAAGCTGTCAGCATCATACATGCATATAGCACGTTTTTGCTCAGCAGTTAAAATTTTAGAGGCTCATTTGTCCAATTTATTTAACGTCTACCAAATGCCAAGAGTTCACATGGTTTCCGTCCATTTCACATCATCACCACCGCTCTGTCAACACTTCAAATTACGTCACAGACAAATTTTCTACGCATGTTTGTCTTCATATTTTTCTTGGCTATTTCATGCAGCTCGTATTGTCAGCTTTTTTAAAGTGCATTGAACATAGTGGAGACACTTAATAGCTCGTGATGATTTTTCGATGTTTTTTTGGAAGTCGTAACAAATGTTCACGCTCAGATTTGTTTTTTTTTTCGTGACATATTTTTGATTTCGTTTCAGGTTTAATTACGCAAGCAAAGCTTGTGTTATAGTATGAACTAACTTTTTTCCAACCCAAGTCGCAAATATTGTTGCGACAAAGCGTGTTCTTCTTGAAAGTGTACATTTTGAGCAATAACCAGCTGTTAAGTATAGCCAATGCTAAGGATATTAACATAGACTATTATATTACAAATAGCACTTCAGCTTCAAGCTATCATGAATCTGTAGCGTAGTTGTAGGGAAGGAGACCAGCAACAAAATAAGAGGGTTCGAACCTGGGCAGAGTAGGATATTTTAATGAAATTTTTCGTATACTAGTTAAAATGCGTCCGCTTTATAAATTGAGGCATGTTAGTTGGTAAATTTCTTTTTTTTTGCAAATTGACTGGTGCTGCTAATGCGTCATAATTGGCTTGCGTCACGAAGCATTTATGTAGACTCATAATTGGAGTACGTCACTTAAGAAATTTTGTAGACTCAAAGTTATACTCATTCAGTTTTTCCCAGAAGCGTTATCGGTCATGTTTTTGCTTGTATATGCGATATGCAACTTCGCCCCTGTATTGAAATTTGTTTGCAACTAGGAGGGTAATTTTTGCTCTCGAATAACAAAAGTTCAAATGGCACAAAAAACCCGATTTATTTTCGGCGACTTCATTTTTCAGAAATCACAGTGGAATAAAAAATTCTCTAGTGATCAAGTTTTCTGAAAATGGGTTAGTTTATTGCAAAAGTTTCGATCAAAAACGATTCTGCCAATTTAAAAAGCTTCAATTTTATGTTTTTTAAACAAAAAAAATGATTTTTTTTTTCAGCTGCCTTGAGTTCATTGGCACATTTCCAACTATCTGCTGGCTTTATTTCATTTTTATAAGATGTCATCTCCATTTAGTTTAATTGTCCAGGTAATTGAGTTCCAAGTTTTTTTGTGGAATTTTTTCTAACTAGTTTTTAAATTTTTTTAATCTGCATTTTGCATGTGATCACAGTTTTACAGTGCAACTATCGCATAGAGGTAGCGCTTGAGATTTGTCCGAAATTTCTAGAAAATCGAGCCCCGGTCGAATTTTTTTTGAAATCTTCATATAAAGGTTTGTTACATGGCTTTAATTTAACTAGCATAACTTCAGAGATGAGATTTTTCAAGTGCTCAGTTTCAGCTGGTTTCGATTTTTTTAGCCTTCTGACAATTGCATGCGTGAAGACACTGTGTGCTCGTTTTTTTTTGTAAATGGTTTTTTTTCTGAAAAGCAATCCGCAGAGTCTCTGGTCTATGTTTTGTTCAGTAGCTCGATTTAAGCTGCCTTGAAAGCATTTTTGCTGATTGAAAGCTGAAAATATTTTTATCACCTTTAGACAAGAATTTTCCTTAAGTTGTCTTTTTTAAAAGATTTATTTTTGAATAGTTTTTGCAAAATTCTGAATATGGTTTCAAATCTACCGATTAGCGAAAAGAACCGAAGTAGTCATTTTTGAGAAACAAATGTTGGAATTAGATGAAATAATTTTTTTGGATACCACTAACAATAGCTATAACTATTTTGGATACCACTAAAAATTGCTAAAAGTTAGTTATTTTCATAATTTTTCGTTTTCTGTCGAATGCGTCAAGAGTTGGCAATAAAGTCTATGGCAGTGAGTGGTTATTGTTCCGACCATTGAAAATTTGGAGGAATTATGTATTCGAGTGAGTTCTGGTTTTTCTTTTTTTAAGAGTAATGAACGTAGTGAAGACTCTTATATAGGTCTTCCTGAGTTTTTTTCAGGAAAAAATCTTAAAATATTGATGTACTTTTTGAGTTCAATTGAATTACATCTGCTGAAAATGAAGTAAATGGCTTTCTCCAAATACGAACGCGCAAATGGCGCAAAAGTTCGTGAACGATTTTTAGTTTCGAAAGTGGAATTTAATTTTTTAGGTTTCCAGCGGAATAAAACTTTACCTGTTGATCCAGTTTTCTCAAATTGAGTTAATGTTATCAAAAAAGCCCCTGTCATAAATTGTTCTAGAAACTCAAAGAGCTTAAAGGCCATCTATTTTTTCGTTTAATTTAGAAAGTGGTTATTTTAATTAAATTTTTTCATTAAAGTGTTTTTTTTTATGTTTACTTTCGTTCATTACTCTTTTCCAATCTTCGATTGGCTATGTTATTCTTTACCTCGCAAAATCAGGTACCACAATTAATCATCAGACTGGGTTGAGCGATATATTATATTGAAGCACTTTCAGTCGTGATTTAATTGACATTTAATCATTTCCGAAAACTTCTCCCAGTGTCGAGAATAACCGGTTTGAAATGTTTGATTTTTTTTGTCTACTTTCGAGCGAGTAAAGCGATCAAGTAACGTTCGTTATATATGAAATTTACCCATTAAGGCTAAAAACTACTTGCTTTTACTGAAAGGAAAGTTAGTTTTGGAAGCCATGCTCAGTGATTTTCTGGCAAAAAAAAAGCTTTCGAAAGTATTTGAATTTTTTTTAGCGTGTATACAGTGCGTTCAGTTGGGTTTGGCACAGGTTCGAATCCCTTCTAAGTCGTTTCCTTTCTGAAGTTTGAGCAGAACTTGGTAGAACATAAATTGGACGCTCCGTAACCGGTTTCGAACACCCAAAAAATCTTTTTGATTTGCTGAGCTGTTTGAACTAGTGCTTAAAACGGCATTGACCGACCGTGTTTAACAGGTTCTTGTCTGTCAAAACCGTTTTTGCCAAAAGTTTAAAGGCTCTCATGCTTTACAAAGCGGTACTGATTCAACTTATCTTGGTCGAACTGTAAATTTATACTATTTCGAACCAATTTAAGGCCAAAATTTCCAAAGTTTATTCTAATAATTTCATCTATATATCGAAATACAAATATGAAAAATTCTTGAGTTTTTCATCAGCACAGAAATTATGATCTCAATCATATCATTTTTTCTCGTTTCTTAATTTTGGACATTTCGTCCATTTTTTTTGTTCGGCTTTTGTATTTTAGTTCATTCCAAAAAATCATTGGTCATGTTTTGTCATTTTGTTTTGCCACTCCAAAAGCTTCGATGGCTTAAAAGGTTTTTGTTTTTTGTTACATGGGGTTTATCACGTCAGATATAGTTGTAAATAGATCATTACGATTGTGAACTAGGATAGGGATAATTTTTACAATAAAATTTTTTGTTTCAATGGTCAATAGGAGTCTGTTTTATCGAAATCACATGGATTGGTAAGTGTAAAAAGCAGAAATGTAAGGGAATATTTCATTGTAGCTCAAATAACAATTGAAAGGGTTCAACCTGACATCTCACGCAAGCAAATTGGAACTTTTTTGCTTGTAGCTGCTTTTGCCTGCAGAACAAAACCCATCCGAATACAATGTTTTGTGTGGCTGCGAACAATTACTTGCTATGCAAAAAATGGCCGGATACGAGACCCTTTTTGACTAATGAGTACCCAGAGACAAAGAAGCGGGACTTTAAAAAATAAAATCTCAGGTATAACCAACTCATAGACCGGCTTAGCTTGTCTGTAAATCGACATGAATTCTGGTAGATGATTTGTTTTCAGACAGTCTGTGTCGATCAAATCGACAGTTTTGACATGAAGCTATCAGAAATATATTCCAACAGTGTTCGACAAAAACAATGTAGCATTATTGATGTTATTTCTTGCAAAGATTTCCAAAATTATCAAAATGCTGATTTGAGTAGCATTTCTGTTGTTGACATACTATTAGACCAGATATCGAAAAAAATTTTCGAATGTTTAACGACTTCTGAGAAGTTTATTGTAGCTTGCGCTTTCAAAAATTCTCTTTCGGGTCTTCTAGTTTTTCTTATGTGCGCGAAGAACAACCTGGTTTATTACCCAGTTGACAATGCAATAGAAATCAGTACTCTCGAAAATTCATTGAAACCTTTGAGAGCTAAATTCTACCTTTGTGGCAAATTACTACCGGAATCAAGTAATTTTTGTCATTTGGTTGGAACCGTTATTGGCGGGGAAATATTTATCTATCGACTTAATTTCGAGCTTAATAAAACCATTTTATTACCGGAAATTGAAGTAAAGCCTGATTGGCTGAACGACTTAGCTTATGTTATTTCCACTTCGGGTACGACTGGGTTACGTAAGCACGTCCTAGTATCGAACCAATCTATTATCTCTAATGTAAATTGTATTGTAGACCGATTGGCCTTGAAAAGTGATGAAGTTATAGCACAAAACACTAGTTATTTGTTCGACCCGTTTTTTGTTGAAGTTATATCTTGGCTTATAACTGGAAGCACATTGCTGATTTTTCCGCTGGAATTTAAACTCAATTTTGAAAAGTTCCACAATTTGATTACGACGCATAATGTTACGTTTTTGCAAACGACGCCTAGCTCTTTGGCAATTTTGGGCGCAGAAAATATTGGAAAAATGCTTCTGCATAATAAATCGTCTCTTCGTAACTTAGCTTTAGGCGGTTAGTGTTTGTTTTTTAAAATAAAACATTCAATTACAAAATTTTCTATTGAATTTTTTTTTATCATAATAGGCGAAGCGTTTCCGGGATCTCTTCTTGCCTGGAAATCAAAATCAAACAAAACGAGGATATTCAATTTTTATGGATTGACTGAACTTTCCTGCTGGGCTACTCTATGTGAAATCTCATTCGATCAATCAAGTTTTAAGAACGATTTGATTGGCCTTGAAGTCGACCGAGCAGAAAAGAGACCAGTGTTTGCGGATGTTGCCATTGGAGAAGCAATGGCCGATACAGAGCTGGATTTCCGCAAACTTGAAAATGGGTAGCTTATTTAATTTCAACGGCCTTCTTAGTCAGTACTAGAAAAAGTTCCTTTTTGACATCAACTATGACATAACAAATAACATGTAATAGATATGACTCACTGCAACTAATTTTTTCGGCAATCAAACTAAACTTGTTCGGGTCTTTTGTGGCTTTTTCATGTCTATCATTTTAATCTGACTTAGTTTTTGAATTTTGACAACAAAAAAATCAATTCGATAAACTTGTATGTTTGCAGCTCTAATGACGAATTGTACTCGTTGACTTTACGATCTCGAAAACGACTTTGTTCTGTTCTACAATCTGGGCAATCCCTCATAGATTTGTACAAACTACAAGAAGGCGAAATATTCCGCAGTGAAACTATTGTTCATACGAATGATTTATTCGAAAATGTAGAAAGCAAATGGGTCTTCAGAGGGAGAGCTGACAACGAAGTTAAAATGTTAGGGAGGGGGTTAAATCTGGATGGGATTAAACAGCTTGTTCTGGACTATAGTGACGACGAAATATCAGGATGCGTTATCGAGTTTTCTTTCTTAGTTTAACACTTTATCGATTATCCGCATTTTGATTGAAAAGAGTTCAACCAATTAGTTGATTGGATTTTGTAAATTGTTTTCATTTAATGCAAGGGGAACTTCATACAAGGTTCAAATTTCGTTTATGCTGAACATTTTCATGCTTGGACTGGTTTTTTAAGGGCGAAGTTCTTTCCAGGACTCACATGGAGAAATAATTAACAAGTTCTGGTTGATTTGAGGGTATCCCTCATTTCTAATAGTTTCAGGAAGTTTGTAGAGCCCTTTTTTGAAGATGTATTCCAAAAGTTTTAAAGGATGCCTCAATTTATTTCTTGGAAGCCATTTTTGTCGAAAGCTGTTTTCGCCAATTTTTTAGCTAAAGATATTTGAAGATTTTTGAAAGTCATCCTTAGTGACATTGAATTTAATTTTTTCGAGGAGTTGAATTTATTTTTCATTGAAATGCAGTAAGAAATTAAAGATGGAGTTAGAAAAATTAAAATCGTTGAAGAAAAATTGGTTTAGTTTTCTCAAAAACAGCAACATTATACAATTTTTTTGCCTCTAATTGAAGTTGCAGAAAAGTAATGAAGTTATTTCACATGTCTCTATATTTAAAAGGTTAGTCGACCAATAAAAATTCGTTTTTTCAAACCTTAATCAATGAAGCCCAATAAAACATCGAGTTAATAAGAACACTAAAATGACGAAAACTCGCCTCTGAAAAAGGAATCAACTTCGCTCTTTTCAAACTGTGCTGTTGTTTTTCGAGACAACCGAGTCAGCTGCTTCATACAACCCAGGTCCGATGAATTGTTCGGCAAAGTAAGTTTTCGAGATCTTCGTTTTCTGCTTTGCAAATTTAAAAAATATATTGAAATTTTAGAAAAGTTTGTTTTATAGGTGGATCAGATGGACCTGAAACGCAAACTGCGCACTTATTTGTTGAGAAAGATTCCAGAAATATTTGTGCCCCAAAATTGGTTTGTCGTGCCGAAAATTCCTTGCAACAACAACGGAAAATTAGATATGAATTTTCTGAAAGATTATATTGATTGTTACAAACAAAGCAAAAAAGTACCAGGTTTGCATCATTTTAAGGATAATTTCCAGTTTAATATTACTGGCATAATTAACATTTTAAAAAATGCATTAAAAAGTGCTGCCCTTATTTGGAGCATAAAAGCTTTATATTTCGAAAAAAAATCTGAACATAATTTTAAAATCGTTTGAAAACCGGCGGCTTCATATTACTTGAGCGTTTGCTTGTTCTAAGCTCACTCGGATCTTCTGGATTTTCGGGCTGTGAAGTCATGGGTTGTTTTGCTGTTCGGCTTGTGTAAAGTTAATAGAAGGATATCCTTTTTGTTTTTGAATATTCAATGGTAATTTGGGGGTCGAAAGTCACACTTCTTTGCTCCAAATTGTGAAAATAATTGCAGAGGGTTTGTCTGCCAGATGTTTGAATCTGTTTCTTGAAAGCAATTTTGGCTGTTAGAAAGACAAGGAATAAGCTAGTCATAAACCTCGAATGTTCAAGTTAGTCATATGCCTCAAAGCCAAATGCCTCAATATTTGACAGCGGTATGTTTAATTTAGTCAGTGGCGCACCCAGAAATTTTGCCCAGAAATTCGGCCAGTTTTTATATGAGGTTTTATCGGGCTGCAGCCAGTTTAGCAATTACAACATAGATTCTGGGTTTCTCTCCAACGGGGGAACTTCTCTGCAAGCATTCTACGTAATTCAGCAGCTTGTGAATGAATGTGCACTTACGGAAAATGGAGAGCAGAATGTTGTTTTGAAAATGATGCTAGCGGACCTTCCTCTCAAGTTTGTCCAATCGCAGTGTGTAAGTTTTGTTTTTTGTTACCTGAGTGCAGATTGTGATATATGTGTTTTTTCGCCTTTTCTAATACATTATGAAGTTTCATACAAATTAAGCTAGTAGATTTTGATTTTTCATGCAAGTTCTTGCATTTTTGCTTGATTTTTGCTTTTGGTATCCTTCCTCAAGTGTAAACAATAAACAGTACTGTTACCATAGTCGAGCAATGAATGCACAATGTTTGAATAAGTTAATTTTTTTAAAATATTTTGAGGCTTCATTATCATATTTTTTTTTCAGGAAAATTTTCTCAGTTCTGAAATAACAAATACTGCTAGGCATCAAAAGGAAACACCCAGTCCAGTTTATGGCGTTGCCCTCGAGAAGTTGTGGGAAGTAGATATGGAACTATGTGTGGATGCAGGAGTAGTCACCGACTCTAGCGAACAAATTGGTTATATTGGTCAGTTGCAAAGTCGTTGCTTACGTTGTTGCAAAGTTGTTATCAAATCGGAATATAGACAATTTTTCGGGGGAACAATTTGTCTAATAAAATTACTTGAATCACTAGACTTCATTCACGTTCACTTCGTTCACGTGCTGTCGTGCTCAAATTTTTGAAAATTTAAATTAAACTACCGGTCTACTGCTACTATTGACAGTAATTATAAGAAGTTGTATAAGTACTCTTAATATTGGTAACAAAATCAATTTTCTCCGCTAATCCGGCAAACCTGGCCGAAAGGTATCAGCTTCTACGCCTGGGACGGCAAATTTGACCTATCGTTTGTCTGATTTTGTTTTGTCTGCTTAGTTGCCGCATCACGGAAGGTTCCTGTTTTTAGAAAATAATTAAGTCATATGATAGCTTGGATTAAATCAAATTCAAACTTTTTTAAAGCTTTTTCGGCCTTAATGTTTTTTGACAAAAGTACTAGTTCTTAAACCTCAGTTATGGCGTAGTTTGGACATGTTTGCGTCAAATTGAACATCGTTCCAGTAAATTTCTGAAATTTTTGTAATTATGGTTGTTTCGAAATAGTTTTTTTTTCGGCTTAGTGGCTTTTGTTTCATTTTCTGTCTGCTAGCTTGCAATGTTCCGCTTCGGCACTGTGTTATTTCCTGCTCTTGTTGATCGCGCCACTCTCGCAGAGTGAGAGAAACTATGGCGTAGCTTGGGTTTTCGAGAAATTTTAACGACCTTGAAAAATGCTTTTAGGCTCAATTCAGGAATCATATTGAAGCCCTTTGAGTAATTAGATTCTAAAAAGAAATTTCGAAAAAAAATCGGTGTCGAGAATAATGTGTCTGAGCTTTTGCTATTTAGACTCAATTTCAGCGAAGAACGAATATTTTCTCATCCACTCAACGGTGACCTATTCAAGATTTAGTTCAAGAATAATTGGCTGCAGACTTTCAGTTCATTTTGAAAGCGAAACACAAAAACATGCAGACAGGATTTTATTTCTTGATTTGTATTACTTTTTATAATGATATATGAATTATTCTGTGCTAATTGTACAGTACCGGCTACTTTTATTTTATAGATACATCAATATTCTTACTTTTAAACTAGTTTTTAAACCCCAGTTATGCTGTATTTTGGACATGTTTGCGTCAAATTGAACATCATTCCGGATAGTAGGACGGCAATTTCGTAATCTCCAGGAGCGAGGTTCGATTTCAGCAGATTTTTCAAATCCTGTTATTGACTTTTTCCTTGTTGCTTTTTTGGGGCTACTTTTTGACATTTTCCAAAAAAAATTCTGACAAGCGGCTTTGTCTATTTTGTTTTCAAGCTCTCCTTTTATTATATTGAGAGTTTGTTAGTCGAGTTAACCATTTTTTAATCGTAGCCCTGAACGATCGTACGTTTTTTCCTTTTAAAAACATCAAAGTTGAATTAAAGCAGTTCTAATTACTTTTTAAAGCTGCTTCTTGGAGTTTTGTCGTTTGTGGTGGTTGCGAATTGCAGTCTAAAGTGAAAAATTTTCCAATTATTTGGGCTTTTTTGGTGTCAATGAACGCAGTGAAGTTTCTAAAATAGGTCCTGTTGATTTTGTAGGAAAAAGTCTCAAAAATTGTTTGCGGACAAATTTCTGAGTTTTTAGTTATTATGATTTTTTCGAAATAGTTTTTTTTTCGACCCAGTGATTTTGTTTTAATTTCTGTCTGCTTGCTTGCAATGATATGTCTGTGTTGTATCACAAGTGGTGCGAAGCTCTGCCTCGCTTATGTGTTATTGATTGCTCTTCTTGATCGCACCACTCTCGTAGATTGAAAGAAACTGGCGTAGCGTGGGTTTCTTCCAAGAAATTTAAACGACCTTGAAAAACGCTTATAGGGGCTCAATTCAGGAATCATTTTGAAGCTCTTCAAGTCATTTAGATTTTGAAAGGAAATATCAACGAAAAAGATTTTAAAACGAAAAATGGGTCTGAGCTTCTGCTATTTAGACTCAATTTTTACAGTTGCGAAGCTAGTGTATTTTTACGAACCTTCTTTTTTTCTAACCTAAAATGCAAATATTGGTGGGGCACATTTACAGCTTTTTGATAGCAGCGGAATTTAGTTTACTTATTCAGCCAGTTGCCTTATATTGGACATGAAAAAGGCTAATGATAAATATTCCAGAAGTTTGAACTGTTCTTTCATGATTTTTTAATGCGAAGTTAAATATTAAAAATTAATTCAATCATTTTTTTTTTCGGTTTCTTCGAGTTCATAGCCAACCGACAGTTCGAAAAATTTCAATATTTATTCAGGCAGCTTGTTTTTCTTAGCTCAAATCTGATACGTATGACCTAATGAAGCTCCATTATGGAAATTGAAACTGTGTTTCAAACTCCACAATAATTCGTTCAATATTTTTGCATTCGATAATTTTTTGCAGTCAATAATTGTTACACTTGCAACCAGCAAATGCATTCAACGTGGGCATAGAACTTGTTTATCGCTTACTTGACTTCTAGTAACAAGATTTTGAGCTGTATGATGTGAGATGGTTTTGTGCTCTGCCACTTGAGGTTACTCTTAGCGCCCCACTGTCTCTTCCGACCTTAGTCTTATCTAAGCCTGACTGTTCCGACCACTTCACTATGCGGGTGTTTCTTGTTTTTGCGTATTTTTGATACAATTTTGGTTGGGTATCGAGAGCTACCATGTTTTAAGCCCTCTCAGTCTGATTTGGGGCCCCAAAAGAACAATCAAAAGTTATCTCAGTATCAAGAAAAACTGGTGTCACTATTTTAATTCTGGTGTCACTTGAAACTTGTTTTTGACAGCAAACGCATGAATTATAACGAGATTTTTTTCAATATCATTTATCATTATATTGGTCATAATATTTCTGTTGAAGCGCATTCATTGCGGCTTGGTGTTAACCATAATTAAGAAAATAGCAAGGAGAATAGGTTACTGGAGAAAGAAAATGTTTCCCTATATGGAGTCAAGCTGTTTTTTAGAGTCAATGAACATAGTGAACACTCTTATATAACTCGTGAGGATTTTTTCAGGAAGAAGTGAAATTTGTTCACGCTTTAATTTGATTTTTTTTTGTGGTTTGGTTTTTGATAGCTTTGTTAAAAGGAAGACAAACTCAACTATCGAACAGCAAAATTGTAAAGGCCACGAAAACTCGGATACGTTCAGAAAATTAATGCTCAAGTTATTCCGGTGTTTCATATGGAGCAGAATGTTTCGAGTCACTTATCTTGAAATAATCCCCCTGATTTTATTGTCGAAGACCAGTATTTCGCTAAAATAGCCTTTTTTGCAAAATACCATTACTATCAATAGAGATTTTATGAGATTATTTTTTGGGTTCATGGTTTTTGGCTTTAGCTGTGTTTCAGTCTTCTGTTGTAAGATTTTTTGCTCTTTTGTCTCCGATGTTAGAAAATAACCAAAAAAGTGGTCGAATATTTGATTTCGATTCTGTTTTGTAAACTTTCTGCAATGCGGAAATTCCTTCAGCTGGGTTTAATTCGTCAGAGTGACCTTTTTGGTCCCTAAAAAAATCGAGAACGGATTTTTTTTCCTATTCATTAAACATATTCTTTGCCAATTTGTTCAAATTTTTGCAAAGTGGCTAAGTTTTTCTTCTCGATGAAAAGTCTTAAAATTTGTTCAGACTCAAGTTTATTTTTTTGCTATTTGAGTTTTGCTTTTTATAAGTTCAACTCATTTCCTTTGTTAAAAGGAAGACAAACTCCCTTATCGAACAGCAAAAGTGTAAAGGCCACGAAAACTTGGATATGTTCAGAAAATGAAAGCTCAAGTCATTCCGGTATTTCATATTGAGCAGAATGTTTTGAGTCACTTATCATGAAGTAATCCTGCTGATTTTATTGTCGAAGACCAATAGTTTTGGTACAATAGACTTGTTTTTGCAAAATACCAATACTATAAAAAGACATTTAATGAGATTGATTTTTGGGCTTATCGTTTTTGGCTTTTGCTGTGTTTCAGACTCCTCTTGTAAGGATTTTTACTCTTTTGTTTCCAATGTTAGAAAATAGCCAAAAAGGTGGTGGAGCATCTGAAAACTGATTTCGATTTGTTTTGCAACTTCTACGCAAGTCGGAAATTCCTTCATCTGGGTTGAATTCGTCAGAGTGACTTTTCGGTCATTAAAGAGTTCGAGAACGGAATTTTTTGCTATTCATTGAACATATTTTGTGTCAATTTGTTCACTTTTTTGAAAAGTTGGCTTAGTTTTTTTTGTCGATGAAAAGTCTTGATATTTGTTCAGGCTCAAGGTTATTTTTTGCGATTTGACTTTTGATTTTTTTTAAACTCAACTGATTTGTTTTGTTAAAAAGATGAAAAACTGCACTATCGAACAGCAAAAGTGTGAAGATCACGAATAACGTTATCAACTTCTAACTTCGAAAATGGAGTTTAGTAATCAGACTTCCCAGCGAAATTGAAATTTTACTTCTTTATCCAGTTTTCTCAAATTGGGTTAGTTTCATTAACAAAAGGGTCAATCATCAAAAAAGATCAGTTTCCAGAAGTTCATGAATTGTTCGGGAAGTTCAAAAAGCTTTAAGGCAATCTATTTTTTCTTTAAACTCGAAAGTCTTTCAAAATAGAAGTCGGCTTTTTTCTTTTCGTTCCTTTGCGTTCATTGAATCTTCTCCAACTGTCTGTTGGCTATGTTATCTAATTGCGCATTGTTTGCTGGATAGATCAAGACGGAATGGCTTATTGATTAGGTCAAAAGAACCCTGATGAGGAGCTTTGGGTTCGAGTCTGTACTTTCCTATGTTTCTACTCTAAATTGGCTCTTTTCCATTTCAAATTGGCTCATGAATTTCAGTTTTGAAAACTTTTTTTTTCGTGACATAATGTAATGAAGTTTGCCTAGATATATTCCCATCGTAGCACCACGCATTCAGCCATTATAACATTAAGGACAATTAAGAAAATGGAAAAAAAATTGCTTAAATCTGCAAAGTGCATCTTCCCTTCTGTGTTAAATTTGATATCGCAAGTGATGTGGCACTTCTCTTTGTTTATAAAATGCGGTTGACCCAGAAATTGAAAAGTCTAAAAGGCTTTGTTCATATCAACGCAATTTTTGGCGAATGAGTTATAGAAATCTAAGAATTTAAAATGTTGTGTTGCTGTTAGATCACCATTAGGTTTATAGGTGTTTGGTTGTTTTTTGGTTGAGATCGATTAATCGACTTCGAAACGCACTAATTCATTGAATTATGATTGTTTCAGGCTCTCACAGCGGACTGTTTGTTGCCGTAGAAATATCAACCGGGAATATTTTATGGAAGCGGCATTTTCCGGACAGAATTATATCTTCATGTGTTATATCGCTAGAGGACCAGTTTCTTGTCGTGGGATGTCAAAATGGGGTTATTTATGTTATGATGAGCAAAAGCGGAGAGGTCCATTGGTATTTCGAGACACAAGCTATGATTAAATGTACTCCAGTTATTGACTCTACCAAAGGTTAGGCTTTAAAAGTATTCTGAATAGGTGAAAAGCTGAATCTGTTTAAATTAGTCAATAAATTGATGTTTGATGATGAAATCTAACCGTCCGCATTGCAAAACCATGTGTTCATGAATTCAAGAAGGGTTAAAACTATTTTTCATAAACAAGGCTGATCGTATATCAGGGCGAAACCCTCAATGTTAAGACTGCCCACTATCGTCGATCACGAGCTTTTTGGTTTTAAAAAAAAACTTATAAAATGTTTGGAAAAAAATGTTTGTTCAATTTATCCCCCTTTAAGTTGTAGAGTACCAAGTGATAATATTGGTTATTTATGCGGCCGGTATTAACAAGAACGCTTTTATCAGGACGACCCCTTGAATGCTCCGAATGACCTTTAACGGTTATCGAGTAGTGTTGAATTTAAATGAAAATGCTGAAATTTTCAAAATATCAATTTTTAAAATATGATTAAGAGTAATAAAGTAGTGAGTACTCTTCTTTAGGTCTTGCTGACTTTTTTTCAGGAGAAGTCTAATAACTGCAGATGTGCATTCATACATATTGATGCATTTATGAATGCACTGAGGTATAAATGCACTTTTTGAGTTCAACTGATACTCATCTGCTGAAAAAGACGTAAATAGCACTCTCCAAAAACGAACGTGGAATTGGCGCGATAAAACGTGAACGATTTCTAGTTTCGAAAGTGGAATTAAATTTTTAGATTTACTGCGGAATAAAAACTTTAACCATTGATGCAGTTTTCTCTAATTGGGTTCATGTCATCAAAAAAGCGCCAATCATAAATTGCTCTAGAAATTCAAAGTGCTTAAGGGGCATCTAATTTTTTCTTTGAAATTCGAAAGTTGATATTTTTCCAAGAAATTCAGTGTTTTTAAGAGTAATGTACGTAGTAAGTGTTCTTATATAGGTCTTGCTGATTTTTTTTTGTTTTTTTTTCTGTAAAAAGTCTTAATATTTGTTCAAGCTCAATTTTGATTTTTCGCGGTTTAACTTGTGATTTCTTTTTAATTTCAGTGCATTTCTATTGTTAAAAGGAAGACAAACTCCCTTATCGAACAGCAAAAGTGTAAAGGTCACGAAAACTTGGATATGTTCAGAAAATGAAAACTCAAGTCATTTCGGTATTTCATATTGAGCAGAATGTTTTGAGTCCCTTATCATGAAGTAATCCTGCTGATTTTATTGTCGAAGACCAATAATTTTGGTACAATAGACTTTTTTTGCAAAATACCAATACTATAAAAAGAGATTTTATGAGATTATTTTTTGGGTTCATGGTTTTTGGCTTTAGATGTGTTTCAGTCTTCTGTTGTAAGATTTTTTGCTCTTTTGTCTCTGATGTTAGAAAATAACCAAAAAAGTGGTCGAATATTTGATTTCGATTTTGTTTTAGAAACTTTCTGCAATGCGGAAATTCCTTTAGCTGGGTTTAATTCGTCAGAGTGACCTTTTTGGTTCCTAAAAAAATCGAGAACGAATTTTAATTGCTATTCATTAAACATATTCTTTGCCAATTTGTTCAAATTTTTGCAAAGTTGGCTAAGTTTTTCTTCTCGATGAAAAGTCTTAAAATTTGTTCTGACTCAAGTTTATTTTTTTGCTATTTGAGTTTTGCTTTTTTTAAGTTCAGCTCATTTCCTTTGTTAAAAGGAAGACAAACTCCCTTATCGAACAGCAAAAGTGTAAAGGCCACGAAAACTTAGATATGTTCAGAAAATGAAAACTCAAGTCATTCCGGTATTTCATATTGAGCAGAATGTTTTGAGTCACTTATCATGAAGTAATCCTGCTGATTTTATTGTCGAAGACCAATAATTTTGGTACAATAGACTTTTTTGCAAAATACCAATACTATAAAAAGAGATTTTATGAGATTGATTTTTGGGTTTATCGTTTTTGGCTTTTGCTGTGTTTCAGACTCCTCTTGTAAGGTTTTTTACTCTTTTGTTTCCAATGTTAGAAAATAGCCAAAAAGGTGGTGGAGCATCTGAAAACTGATTTCGATTTGTTTTGCAATTTCTACGCAAGTCGGAAATTCCTTCATCTGGGTTGAATTCGTCAGAGTGACTTTTCGGTCATTAAAGAGTTCGAGAACGTATTTTTTTTGCTATTCATAGAACATATTTTGTGTCAATTTGTTCACTTTTTCGAAAAGTTGGCTAAGTTTTTCTTGTCGATGAAAAGTCTTGATATTTGTTCAGGCTCAAGGTTATTTGCTTTGTTAAAAAGATGAAAAACTGCCCTATCGAACAGCAAAAGTGTGAAAATCACGAATAACGTGATCAACTTCTAACTTCGAAAATGGAGTTTAGTAATCAGACTTCCCAGCGAAATTGAAATTTTACTTCTTTATCCAGTTTTCTCAAATTGAGTTAGTTTCATTAAAAAAGTGTCAATCATCAAAAAAGATCAGTTTCCAGAAGTTCATGAATTGTTCGCGAAGTTTAAAAAGCTTTAAGGCAATCTATTTTTTCTTTAAACTCGAAAGTCTTTCAAAATAGAAGTCGGCTTTTTTCTTTTCGTTCCTTTGCGTTCATTGAATCTTCTCCAACTGTCTGTTGGCTATGTTATCTAATTGCTCATTGTTTGCTGGATAGATCAAGACGTAATGGCTTATTGATTAGGTCAAAAGAACCCTGATGAGTAGCTTTAGGTTCGGGTCTGTAGTTTCCTATTTTTCTATTCTAAATTGGCTCTTTTCCACTCTAAATTGGCTCATGAATTTCAGTTTTGAAAACTTTTTTTTTCGTTGACATAATGTAATGAAGTTTGCCTAGATATATTCCCATCGTAGCACCACGCATTCAGCCATTATAACATTAAGGACAATTAAGAAAATGGAAAAAAAATTGCTTAAATCTGCAAAGTGCATCTTCCCTTCTGTGTTAAATTTGATATCGCAAGTGATGTGGCATTTCTTTGTTTATAAAATGCGGTTGACCCAAAAATTGAAAAGTCTAAAAGGCTTTGTTCATATCAACGCAATTTTTGGCGAATGAGTTATAGAAATCTAAGAATTTAAAATGTTGAGTGTTGCTGTTAGATCACCATTAGGTTTTTCGTGTTTGGTTGTTTTTTGGTTGAGATCGATTAATCGACTTCGAAACGCACTAATTCATTGAATTATGATTGTTTCAGGCTCTCACAGCGGACTGTTTGTTGCCGTAGAAATATCAACCGGGAATATTTTATGGAAGCGGCATTTTCCGGACAGAATTATATCTTCATGTGTTATATCGCTAGAGGACCAGTTTCTTGTCGTGGGATGTCAAAATGGGGTTATTTATGTTATGATGAGCAAAAGCGGAGACGTTCATTGGTATTTCGAGACACAAGCTATGATTAAATGTACTCCAGTTATTGACTCTACCAAAGGTTAGGCTTTTAAAGTATTCTGAATAGGTGAAAAGCTGAATCTGTTTAAATTAGTCAATAAATTGATGTTTGATGATGAAATCTAACCGTCCGCATTGCAAAACCATGTGTTCATGAATTCAAGAAGGGTTAAAACTATTTTTCATAAACAAGGCTGATCGTATATCAGGGCGAAACCCTCAATGTTAAGACTGCCTACTATCGTCGATCACGAGCTTTTTGGTTTAAAAAAAAACTTATAAAATGTTTGGAAAAAAATGTTTGTTCAATTTATCCCTTTAAGTTGTAGAGTACCAAGTGATAATATTGGTTATTTATGCGGTCGGTATTAACAAGAACGCTCTTATCAGGACGACCCCTTGAATGCTCCGAATGACCTTTAACGGTTATCGAGTAGTGTTGAATTTAAATGAAAATGCTGAAATTTTCAAAATATCAATTTTTAAAATATGATTAAGAGTAATGAAGTAGTGAGTACTCTTATTTAGGTCTTGCTGATTTTTTTTCAGGAGAAGTCTAATAACTGCAGATGTGCATTCATACATATTGATGCATTTATGAATGCACTGAGGTATAAATGCTATTTTTGAGTTCAACTGATACTCATCTGCTGAAAAAGACGTAAATAGCACTCTCCAAAAACGAACGTGGAAATGGTGCGATAAAACTTGAACGATTTCTAGTTTCGAAAGTGGAATTTAACTTTTAGATTTACAGCGGAATAAAAACTTTAACCATTGATGCAGTTTTCTCTAATTGAGTTCATGTTATCAAAAAAGCGCCAATCATAAATTGCTCTAGAAATTCAAAGAGCTTAAAGGGCTTTATCTTTTTTTTAAATTCGAAAAAAAAAATTTTTCAATTAATTCAGTGTTTTTAAGAGTAATGTACGTAGTGAGTGTTCGTATATAGGTATTGCTGATTTTTTTTGTTTTTTGTAAAAAGTCTTAATATTTGTTCACGCTCATTTTCGATTTTTTTGCGGTTTGACTTGTGATTTCTTTTCAAGTTCAGTGCATTTCTGTTGCTAAAAGGAAGACAAGCTCCACTATCGAACAGCAGAACGTGATTGACTTCTAATTTCGAAAATGGAAATTAATTATCAGGTTTTCCAGCGAAATAAAGTTTTGCCTGTTGATCCAGTTTTCTCAAATTGGGTTAATTTTAACAAAAAAGTGTCCATGATTTTGTTCTACAAATTCAAAGATCTTTAAGGCCATCTATTTTTTTCATCGAAATTCAAGAGTTGAAGGCTTTTGAAAAAACCAGTCATTTTTTTTCAGCTTCCTTGCGTTCATTTCTCGTTTCCAATCTTCAATTGGCTATGTTTTTTAAAATGGTTACCCAACAAGCTGTTCAAATTAGAAAGTTGTATATTTAGCATTTGTAATTTATTAATTAATATAAAAATCATGCCTCAATTCAATTTGGAATGATTTCTAAGCAGGGTTATATCGCCGCTGATGCATTAATAGCAGGAAATATCGAGTGTTATTTGTCCAAAATTAGCCAGATTGGCAATCTCTAATCCCCCATAGCTTTGCCAAAAGTGATTCAAGGTAATTTTTTTGCTTAAATATGAGCTTGGGGCAACAATATTTTTCAACAATAGAATAACTCCGCCAAAAATGAAATAGCTAGTTGAGAAGTCGAAATGAGTCTGGAGAAAAAAGCACCCCGAGTACAAATATTTGTCTTTCTTTTCGAAAGTCGAAACAACTCCGAAATTGCTGGCCTCAGTTTACTTTGGAAGGATTTAAGTTCAAAGTTAAGTTCAGCAAAATGGTGTCAATTTCCAGAAGTTCATGAATTGTTCCAGAAGTTCAAAAAGCTTTAAGGCCATCTATTTTTTCTTTAAAACTCGAAAGTCTTTCAAAATACAAGTCGGCATTTTCTTTTCGTTCCTTTGCGTTCATTGAATCTTTCCAACTGTCTGTTGGCTATGTTATTTAATTGCGCATTGTTTGTTGGATAGATCAAGACGGAATGGCTTATTGATTAGGACAGATGAACCCTGATGAGGAGCTTTGGGTTCGAGTTTGTAGTTTCCCTTGTTTCTAATCTAAATTGGCTCTTTTTCATTCTAAATTGGCTCATGATTTTCAGTTTCGAAAACTTTTTTTCTACTTTGACACAATGTAATGAATGAAGTTTTGCCTAGGCTTCATATATTCCTATCGTAGCACTATCCTTGAGTTCCTTGCGTTTTTTTCTCGTTTCCAATCTTCGATTGGCCATGTTTTTTTTGAAATCATCTCCCAACAAGCGGTTTAAGTTAGAAAGTTGTGTATTTAGCATGTTGTAATTTATTTAATAAAATAAAAAGCATGCCTCAATTCAAACTGGTACGATTTCTTAGCAGGATTATATCGCCGCTGACGCATTGATAGCAGGAAATATATCGAGTGTTAATTGTCCAAAATTAGCCAGATTGGCAATCGCTAATCCCCCATAACTTTACCAAAAGTGATCTAAGGTGATTTTTTTCTTAAATATGAGCTTGGGACAACAACCTTCTTCAACAATAAAATAACTCCGTCAAAAATGGCTAGTTGAGAAGTCGAAATGAGTCTGGAGAAAAAAGCACCCCGAGTACAAATATTTGTCTTTATTTCCGAAAGTCGAAACAACTCCGAAATTGCTTGCCCCAGTTTACTTTGGAAGGATTTAATTTGCCGCTTACGCTTTAACTGAACGATATTTATCTCGTGTTAATTATCCCACTTCGAAATATTGTCGTCAAAGCAATCGCAAATTCAAATCATTAAAATTTTGTGAAAAATAATCACATGTGAATTGTTTCTTGAGTTTGATTTATCTTTTTGAAAGTCGGTACAAGAAGTAAAGTTTTTCAAAGAAAACACGCGTGATCAAATTCATGTGTAAAAGTAGCAGTATTGAGATTGAAAATGCAGTATTTGCTTAAAAACCAATGAACGTAGTGGAAATTTTCATAAAGGTTGTGATGGATTTTTTCTTTCCTTCATAATTTTTTTCAGGAGCAAGTCTCTAAATTTGTTCAGGCTGAAAAACACTTGTTCTTGGTTTGATTTCTGATTTTTTTTCAAAGTTAAGCTTACTTCCTTTGTTAAAAGGAAGAAAAAATCTACTATTGAACAGCAAATATAAAGGTCATGATAAACGTGATCGACATCTATTTTCGAAGGTGGATTTTTGTTTTCAGATTTTCCAGCCCAAAAAAAAATGTTTTGATCCCGTTTTCTCAAATTAGGTTAATTGTATTACGCTTGCGATTAGCAAGCGTTATAAAACCTGAATATAGACTTTTTTCTGGTTAACAATTTGTTTAACAGAATCACTTGTATCTTTGTTCATAATGAAGTCGGCCGCCAACTTAGCCTGATAGGTAACGAATATACCTGGGACGGAAAAGATCCTGAGTTCGAATCTGACCAGGCCCTTTTTTGTTTCAAACGGGAAATATTTTGTTTCAAATAAAGTTGTCGGCCAACTATTTGTGTGCTTATCGGTTGTCGGCTTAGTTGTAACATCTTGGAATCGTTTTTTTTTTTGCTGCACGTTTTTCGCATTTTTCTTTGATGTTGCTTTTAGCGTTTGGTTTACTCCTGCAATTTGTAGTTTTAGTTACCTTGACTTTGTATTTCCTTGTTTGTTTTTATTTTTTCGCCAAAAAAATCCTCGGCCCAAATTTTTTCGGCCTATTTTTATCGGCTTAATGACTTAATTTTGGGTCGTTTCAAGGGAAACACAAGCTTAACACTTCCCTCTCTACTTTTCAAGTTGATTGTATGTTTACCAATTGGTCTGCTTACACAAGCAAAGCTTGTGTTATAGCATGAATTTTCTTTTTTTCCAACCTAAGTCGCAAATTTTGTTGCGACGCAAATAATGTTGCGACAAAATGTACCAATTTGAAAGTGCTCAGTTTGGTCAATAACCAGCTATTAAGTACAACCAATGTTAAGCATAGACTATTATATTACAAATAGATAGCACTTTAGCTTCATGGTATCATGGATCTGTAGCGTAGAGGTAGGGAAGGAGACCAGCAACAAAATAAGAGGGTTCGAACCCGAGCAGGGTCGGATGTTTTTAACGAACTTTTTCTTATACTATTTAAAATGCGTCCGCTCTATCAATTGAGGTATGTTAGTTGGTAAATTTCTTTTTTTTTCAATTTGATGGGTACTGCTAATGAGTCATAATTGGCTCGCGTCACTTAGCAATTATGTTTACTCATAATTGGCGTGCGTCACTTAAGAAATTTTGTAGACTCAAGATTTTGTTTTTCGTAGTAGTGTTATCGGTCATTTTTTTGCTTGTGTATGCGAAGTGCAACTTCGCCTCTGTGTGAAATTTCTTTTTTGTTGATAATGGAAAATTATTTCCAAATTGATTGGAAAATTTTAGTTTTTCTCAGAAAATTTTACTGCTTTTCAAAATAGGGGCATCAATTGAAAGACCTCTTACTCCCCTAGAGTCTCTTTTTCTTAACTCCTCTGTCTACAGCCTTCGAAATATTTGACCCATATTTTTGATTTTTTTTTCCGTTTTCTCGAAAACTATCCCTCTCAAATCTGAGTATTAGGTTTCAACGAATATAACTTGACTTTTCTGAAACTTGGATTTTCTAGCGTTTTTTGAAACTTGGATTTTCTACCGTTTTTTGAATCTTGAACTATTTTTGAAATTCAAAGAGCTTTAAGGCCATATACTTTTTCTTTTTTCTTCGAAAGTTTTTCAAAGTCATTTCTTTCGGTTTCATTGCCTTCATTGACTCTTTTCCAGATGTTTTCCATCTTTCTGTTGGCTATGTTTTTCACTTATTCAGGTTCTGTCGTGTTCTGTCCGTCTTACGACTGCCGCGTGTATGCCCTAGACTTCAAAAACAAAGTACACCTATGGACTTGCAGACTTCCCGCGCCGATAACATCAACACCGTGCCTTATATCATCTGCATCGGTACATACGGAAACTGTTTCCGAACAAGAGTTTCCGATTATTATTTGTGCCGATTTAAGTGGTCAAATTTCAACTTTAAACGGAGACACGGGCGTCATTTTGGGTTCGCTGCAGCTTAAAAAACCAGTGTTTGCCGATCTCATTGCAATCAAACAAGGTAAAAATGATTTTTTGACCACAAAATTTTGCGTTTCGTTGACTTCATTTTGGGAAAGCAGTCAAAAAATTCTTTTGCGGGATTCGGCTAGAAAATTTTGAACATTCGACCTGTTTGTTGTGGTAATTATATGAGAAGTGTTTAACTCTATTTTGACAACCAGTTCAAATTAAGGCTTCCAGCACTTCGGATTTCAAATTCATAAGAAATTTGAAATATTATTGTCAAAATAGTTTTTTTGAAATAGCCTGACAGCTATCACAACAAAGGTTGAATAATCAAAATTTTTCAACGAGACCCAGCTTTGGACTTTTTTGTGCTTGTAAAAGTTTAAATCAATCATTTCTTGGTTTAGGGTCATTAGTGTTGGCATGTGAAGTCAACGGAGTTATATCTCTTCTCTCAACGAACAATCTGAACATCATTTGGAGCATTTCTCTTACAAATCGAAACTCAAATATTTTCTCGAAACCTCTGCACGCTAAAAGCGTGAACAAAATATTCGTGACTGATTCAATTGGCAATGTTACGATTCTAGATGCTATCAATGGGATGATTTTGCAAACTATCGACATTGGAACTAATTGCAAGCTGGGAAATCCTGTTTTAATTGATGCGAAAAACTTATTGACTATGAAGGGCGCTTCTAAAGAACTCAACAAAACTGATAGTGTGAAAAATTGCAATAAAACTGTTTTAAGTTCCGAGGTCAGAAACTCGAGAACTCATTGTGCTGTAGTGTTCTGCTGTTCAAATGGAGTTATTTACTTAATTGAACTAGCAGATGATTTGTCGCGGTTTCATGAGATACACGATTTGAAAATTGAAGTGTTTGCTCCTCTAAATTTGTGCCGTAATTCAACTTTGATTATCGGAGGACATGATGATAAGCTACATTGCTTAAAATTAATATAGTTTCTCAGGACTTTTTCATAACAACATAAGGACTTAAAACATTATTTGACAATCGTTGAAGCAGATGTAAGTGCATGCAGCAAAAATTCGTGACTCAGTTCAACATTTTCTTAAAACCGGAAGTTGCTTATTTGAACAATCCCTCTCACTCTACCTCCTCCTCCCCTGTAATGACCTATTGAGCTAGCAAATCGAGCAAAAAAACACAAGAAAAATTAATTAGCCCGAGTAGGTGGTTAATGTGCGAATAGCACATAATCGAAGTTTTTTCTAGAGAAAAGTTTAAAAAGGGAAAATCAATCGTTAGATCAAGTAGTGTTTGGTTTGCAAGCACTGATTACGCTTAAACTTTTTTTTTGTGAAATCAGTTTTTTTCAGCTGAAGTGGTTTCTGCTCAAAGATTGTCGGCCATGTTTCCGCTTCGTAAATTTTGTTCACTTGCCAGTTTGAAATTCATTTTTCTTGCTTATCATGTTTGCGTTGACTTTCCTGTTTGATCAAAACATGTATTATGAAAATCGGTGATATGTTACAATAGGTGGCAATTTTGAGTGTAGTGCAAGTGTTAAATTTGAAAACTATAACGCCTAATATAGTCATTTCAATTTTAAAGAATTATACTACTACTAAGATAGTTTTTCTAAATACATTACTCTGCCAGATGAAATGCGATTCAAAAGTTCAAATTTTACACTTCTTTTGCCAAAAAGTTTAGCTTTTGAAACAAACTGTAATATGCTTAGTATAACAAAAAGTGATCCAGCTATTCAAATTCAACCTACCAGCTTTTGTAATATTACCTGAAAATGTATGGAATCGGGCTTTTTATTTTATTAAATTTTTTTGGGACGATTTGCCAAAAATTTTCGTTTTTCTGAAGAAAAAAATTTTTTTATCAAAAACTGTTTTAGCAAATTTCAAAAAAAAATTCGAATGTAAAATCCGTTCGCTAATCTGTGCGTCTGCTCAATTCCTTAGTCCCTTTTTACCTTACCCCTTTTTATACAGCCTTCAAAAAATGTGTGGAGAATTTTTGACCCATATTTTTGATTTTTCTAATACATTTCCCAAGAACTACCCTCCCAAACCCGAATTTTTGATTTCAAATGAAAAGGTGGGTAGTGGAAAGCTACCCTGCCGTAGCAGACACACCCAAATTTTTAAACGAAAAGTTATGGCACTGGGAAAAAAGAACAAAATTTCGATTGCTTGATCGTTTTTTGAAAGTTTTGGTTTTTCTCGAAAACTGCTTTCCCAAATCAGAGATTTTGATTTTAATCAATAGGACGGGTTGTAAGAAATTCCCAAACGGAAGCGACTACGCCCAATTTTCTCTACTTCAAAAGTTATGACCCCCGAGAATAGTCAAAAACGTGATATTAGAAAGTTTTTTCAAACTTTTTGACCCCTCTCAAAAACTACTCTCACAAGTCTGAGGTTTTGTTTACAGATTTTGAGAACCTACCCTGCTGATAGCTTCCTGCTCTGCCCAAATTTTTTTTACATGAAAATGTTTGACCCTCGAAAAATTCAAAACTGGTTTTTTGACCGTTATTTAAAACTTAATGACTTTTATCAAAAACTACCCTCACAAATCTGAGTTTTTGATTTCACTAGATTGAATGTAATATGGCAAGCTCCGCTGCGTAAGCTTCTACGCCCAAATCAATTTTACGCAAAAGTTAGGACCCTCGAAAAGTCAAATTTGTGGGTTTTTTGACCGTTTTTTGAAGCCTTTCGATTTTTCTCAAAAAATACCCTCCCAAAAGTGCCTTCAGAAAGCTTAATGATTTGATTTCGTGTCGGTTTTTGAAACTTTTTGACTTTTTTCGAAAAACCCCAGCCGAGTCTGATATCATCAAGTTTAACCGAGGCAAAAAATTGTTTGAAGCCTCTGTGCATAAACGCTACGTCCTAAATTTACCAACAAAATGTTGTCTTGAGGATATTTTCAAATTTTTTAAATTTTTTTACTCATTTTATTAAAGAAACAAATAAGTTTGTACGCAAAGCCTATGATTTGAAACTATTTCATCCCACATCAGCACAATAAAGTCAAAAGATATCAAAAAGGTACCTGCAGATTTAGCTGTACCCGATTCCTGTTTGATAAAAACAAGTATTTTGAAAAATAGTGGATTGGGTTATTTTTTTTTTTTTCTTGAGACGCCGTGGAAATTTTATCTTTATTTGCAAAAACAAATTAGAAAGGCCACCTACTTTTTTGTATGCCTGTTTACTCCTCTGGTCTCTTATTGCTTTACACCTTTGTCTACAGCCTACGAAAAATCTGTGTGGCGAAAATTTGACCGATTTTTTTTTTGATTTTTTCTAGAGATTTACGTCTGAATGAATAGAGTGGATTTCAAAAGCTCCCTCCAAAAGCAGCTACGTCGAAACTTTTTTATACATAAAAATATGTCTCTCTGAAAAGTGAAAGTTTTGATCCTTTTTGACCGTTTTTGATTTTTTTTTTACTTTTTTCGAAAACAAACCTCCAAGACCTGAGGTTGTGGGTTCAATGTGTAGTGAGAAGATCCCCTGTAATAGCACTTCATTGCAAATTTTTCCCACAAAAAGTTATGGTCTCCAGAAAAGTCAGTTTTTTGAATTTTTGAGCGTTTTTTGTTCCTAAATTTTAAGAATTTTACTGAAAACAACCCTCCCTTATCTGAGATTTTATGTTCAATCCAAAAAACGGGTTGTTGGTGGGAAACGTTTGTGTATACGCCCTTGCACCCAATTTTTTGACATTAAAAATTATGGCCATCTGAAAAGTAAAAGTTTTGGTTCTTTGACCTTCTATTGAAACTGCTTATTCACTAGAACTACCCTGTCAAACCTGGGTTTTTAGTTTCGTTCGAAAAAAAATATGTGGTGAATTTCTTCTGTATCAGCGGCTACGACCAAATTTTTTTAAACAAAAAAAATGATTCTCTGAATGTCAACTATCTGATTTGTTGAACGTTTTTGGGATTTTTCTCGACAACTATCTTGCAGAATCTCATATCATAGACTTAATCGATACAACTTATAATTTTCTACAAATTTAATCGACACAATAAATTTTTTCAGAAAAAAGTTATGGCCTTCAAAAAAGTGAATGTTTTGAAAGTTTGATCATTTTTTGGAAGTTTTTCGACAATACTCGATAGTTACCATGCTAATTCTCAGGTTAACTGTTAATCAAGAAATCAGATTGTGGGAATCCTCTCTACTCTAGCAGACACGACCTGCTTTGCGAAAAAAATATCGATTTCTGAAAAATAAGTTTTAGACATTTTGACCATTTCTTAGAAACTTTTTTGAATGTTCTCAAAAACTACCCTAACATTTCTGAGCCTAATTTTTGAATCTATGTATTTCAATCCGCATCAGTACAACAAAGTCTCAAACAGGTTCCTCCAGTTTTAGTTGTACCCCGAATCCTTTTTGATAAAAACAAATATTTTGAAAAAATAGTGGATTGGGTTTTTTATTGTACTTTTTCTTGAGACGCTTTGGAAAATTTTATCACTATTTGCAAAAAATTAAGAAAGACCGCCTAAGTTTTTGTATGCCTGCATACCCCCTGGTCTCTTTTTGCTTCACCCCTTGGTCAACAGCCTTCAAAAAATCTGTTTTGAGAAAATTTGACCGATTTTTTTGATATTTCTAACATTCTAAAAATCTGAGACTTATGTCTGAATGAATAGAGTCGATTTCAAAAGCTCCCTCCAAAAGCAGCTACGCCGAAACTTAAAAATATGGCCCTCTGAAAATATGGCCCTCTGAATATTGAAATTTTTGATTTTTCTTAACTGTTTTTGATTCTTTTTGCCTTTTTCGCAATCAAACCTCCAAAACCTGAGGTTGTGGTTTCAATCGAGATATGGGGTAGTAAGACGTTCCCCTGCGTTAAGGTTTTTCTCAATTTTTTTCCCACGAAGAGTTTTTGTCCTCGGAAAAGTCAATTTTTTTTGAGCGTTTTTTTTTGTTCCTTTGTTTTATGAATTTTACTGAAACTAGCCCTCCTATATCTGAGGTTTTATGTTCAATCTAAGGAACGAGTTGTTGGTGGGAAGGTTTTTGTATACGCCGCTACGCCCAATTTTTTGATTGACATTAAAAGTTATGGACCTCTGAAAAGTAAAAATTTAGATTTTTTGACCGTTTTCCGAAAATGACTTTTCTCGAGAACTACACTGCCAAACCTTACCTTTTTTTTCAGGGTCAATCAAAAATACAATTTTGGCCAATCTTTTCTAACAAGCGGCTACGCCCATATTTTTTTGAACAAAAGAAATGATTCTCTGAAATGTCAACTCTCTGATTTGGTGTGACAATTTTTTGGGGCTTTTCTTGACAACTATACTACAGAATCTGATATCATAGCTTTAATCGACACAACAGGATGTTGACAGTTTACCTTTATAATTTGCTACGCCCAGTTTTTTTTAAGAAAAAACTTTTATGGCCTGCAAAAAAGTTAAAGTTTCGAATATTTGACCGTGTTTCGAAGATTTTCGACATTACTGGATAGTTATCGTGCTAATTCTCCGGTTAAGTGTTTAATCTAAAAATCCGATTGTGGGAATCTTCTCTAATTTAGTATTGGGAGATGCGTAGCATCTGTTCTCTGCTTCATTTGTGGCTAGCGTTTAATCGTCTTTCTTCTTTTTCCTATTAAGCGTCCGTGGCTGAGTGGTTACTTTGTGTGACTCTCAATCTTAGGTCTAAGTTTTGAATCTCAGACTGGGCCGAAATTTTGCTTATTGTAGGCCTAATTATACTTTTGTATTTTATAAAGCTGTTGTTTGTCAGTGTTTGCTGTGTTACTAAATGCTGTGTTACTTTGCAGCTTCGCCTCTGTGTTACTAAATAAAATACTTTATAAAAGTTTTTTTTGTTTGAAAACTTTTTAAAAACGTTTTGCTCAATTTATTAGATAATGTATCTTTTTAAAGTTGTTGAGCTACATAAGAAAGTCTATTTGATGTAACTTTGACAGCAATTGATCCCGTCGTTCTGATGTAAATTTTTCATTAAATAAAAAAACCAAAAGTGATTGATTTTGGGGTAAAATTTTTGGCCCAAATTTTGCAAAACAAAC